GAGCTTTTGTTTGAGATAAAAATATCAGGGACGCGTGTTTTCAATACCGAGCTGCAGGAATTCGCATAAAATATCAACAGTCGGATACGATTAATGCTTCAGAACCCAACAGGGACGAACTATATTATCATGGCTGAGCTCACGGGAACAAAAGGCGATCACTCAGCTGTATAACAGAAACAGTTCTGCTGACATAGGATATGCAAAACACAACCCTTCGCGGTTTGAGACACAGCGAGCAGAATCGATTTAAAGGAAAAAATTTTTTTCATTCATTTACCGGAGAAAAGACAGGAGGCATTGATCGAGAGAGCATTCGGCTGTAATTTCACGCAGGCGTAAATAGCGCCAATAAGATCGCGACAGAGGATTGGAACGTGAAATGTTGCACTGATTATAAGAGAGATACCACGCGAGCTAATACATATTTGACAGCGGCAGAGTTCTGAAAATGGAGGACGATCTGGATGAGAGATCTGCAGAATTTAGCGATAAATTTGAAAAATATCAATTCGATGTTAAAGGAGATCAATGGAACAAAGAAGTGAGAGGGAAGAAAGATTTTTCGGCATCGAGTGAATATCACGGCCGCGAACAGGTTCAGTCTGCTACTGTCAGCGTTTCTAACGGCGATACAATGGAAGGTTCCTCGAGGGAGTTTACGAATGGCCACGCAAGTCGTACGTCAGACAAGAATGAAAATGGATCTGCAACCAGTCTGGATCAGGAAGAAAGTGATTTTGCTTCATCGACGACGCAACCCGAAGAATTGCGACAGTTATGCGATGTATTGATGGAGGAACGAGATAAGGCGACAGCTTTGCTCAGAGAGCGAAGTGATGAGGTGTTGCGCTTACGAAAACGCGCAGTTGAAAGTGGACACGAGAAATCGGATTTAAAAATCCGATTAGCCGAAGTCCAAAGCCACGCAGAACAACTCGAGGAAGATCTAACATCCGTTAAAGAAGAGAATGAAAGATTGAAAGCAGAGATAGATAGGTTGAGAAATAGGATTGACGAACTAGAAGTGGAGAGTGCTAACCTTAAAGATAAATTTAAAGCGCGCGAAGATCACTGTGATGTTGCTGATGGAAAGATCACGACGATCGATTCGGTAAGCGCAGATCTGGCGCTTCAGGCGCTGGACGAATCAGTTTGTGTTGCAAGCGAAGAAGAAAAGGACAAGAAACAACAAGAACTTGATAACTCTGCTATTGCAAATAAAGGAACAACAGTACTCGAAGCTCAACAAATCGAGGAAGAAGTAAGTTCATTCGCTGCACCAGAAGAAACGCCACCGGCGACTGAAAGCGAAATTGCGCGCGACGAGACAGCTTGTGTTGCAAGCGAAGAAGAAGAGGTCAAGAATAAGCAAGAACCTGAACACCCCGTTAACGCAAGTGAAGGAACAATTGGGGTCGAAGTTGAAAGAACCGTTAAAGAAGTAATTTCGTTTGCTGAACCAGAAGAAACGTCAGCTGTGACTGAAAGCGAAATTGCGCGCGACGAATCGGTTTGTGTTGTAAGCGAAGAAGAAGAAGAGGTCAGGAAACAGCAAGAATTTGAACACCCTGTCATCGCAACTAAAGCAACAACTGGACCCGAAGCTCAGCAAACTGATGAAGAAGTAAGTGCATTCGTACCATCAAAAGAAACGCCCATAGCGACTGAAAGCGAAGTGGTTGTCAAGAGAAGAGAAACTTGGCGCACCACTCCAAATTATTATCGTCACTCGTTCGCCGGTAGTCTTCCAAGGCCATTTCACTCCGTAGAACTACAGTCACAACATTCGCTTGATCATTCCTCAAAGCACGAGCGATCGGAGTCGGTTCATTCCGACGCAAGCGGCGAGAGCGAATCGGACGTCCAGGCGCCTCCAAGTATACCGAGCTTCATGAGAAGGAGAGTGGAAAAACCATTCGTGAAATCAGCTGGACTTAGCCCTGTGCAGTTTAATTACCAACCTCTCCCTGTGAGTATATCGAACAAGCGCGGAAGCTGGTTGGGAGAAACGAGAGCCCGCAGTGATAGCCTGCCTACAGCTCACGAATATTCATCTGATAGCGAAAGTAGCGGGGTAGTAACTGAGAGTCCGTGCGAATGGGTGGAACGAGAACAAGTCGCTAACACATTGAACTCTGCGCTAGTAGAGATCGATGGAGTAAATGGAAGCGACAACGCGAATGAGTTTGGTCGTTCTATCGACTTTGACGCACAACCGCCACAATACGCTGAAAATATTCGAGATTCCTCTATGGATTTGGCACCGAGCGGTCATGGAAATGGATCAGAAGTCGTGCAGCATAATGGTGAAACAGAATTAGATAAAGAGGAAAAGGAGAAAAGAGAACACGTCTCTGATTTAGTGACTTTGTGGAACAGTAAAACAGAGCTGGAGGTTTTCGAGATTTAATTACCTTTGAGCGAACTGAAATTGATTTCTTCGCCGCCGATCAACTGTTCGAAAACGTGACTTAATCAGGGTTCAATGCGCTAACCCTCAAAACTTGACGTTTGTAATTTTTATGGGTCAAAGGAGCGGAATGTTAGCGGTTATCACTGGAAAATTGTGCAAAATAAATTCTTTTATCTTATCTCTGATCAAGTACCGAAGATCGACCTCTAGAATGCGTCAGAAAAGTCTTTTTCCGAATTTATATTGCTTTGATGTTGTCGGCGGTTTTTTTATTTCTATAAGAGTTCCGTTATGTATACAAACCATTTATTGTCTAAACCGGCTGTGTGTTATTACTTTGTCAAAGAAAGGACACTTCTCCTTTAATTACAATATGGCTTTTTTACCATTTTGATCATTTTATATTAGTTTTAGATAGCTACAGGTAATATTTAGGGAAGGGAAACTTTCTACTGAGATGCGGAGTCTCTTTACATTCGGAATTTTAATTTCTTTGAATAAAAGTATATTATTGGCGTGCTTGTGTTTTGAACAAGACCTCATTAAATTGCTAAATTAGTTCTGCTTTAAACAAATCGATGAGTGGTCTGTTAGCACAATAATACGTCTCATGAAAACAAAAGTGTTTTCTTCATCAACTGTTAAAATTCAATGTTTTCAACTTCATTGATTTGCTGGAATGAAAAGTGCTTTCGCGTCTCTCGAGTTTCGTGAACACGTTTGACGCGTGCGTCGTGAACGAAGCGCGTGTTAGCCGATGCAATTCTATGAGTTGCAATGGGAACCAAACCTGCTCGTCAGATATTTGTTTTGTCAGAAACTAACTCCCCTTTGGATTGAAAATTTTGCGGAGAATTTTATTCTGCGGACTAGCGAATCTTTTTATTAGGCAGGTTAGCGTGAAACGCAGGGATGATTTGAACGCGAAGAACACGAATTGACACTGGAGGGATTCGCTATGGAGTTTTTGCTTTTTTTCGAACGATAAGCAATAAAGGTTTGGGATGTTTGATATCACTGTGTTATTTTTTTCGCGGAATCATCATCAGCAAAATCATCATACTTATTTTAATCCGGAAACTGGCTGCTACACGGAATACCTTGCAGCGAAGTAACGGATGTACTCGAGATTAAATGCAGACTTTAATCAGAGGGATCAAAAAGTGATAAAGCGGCTCTCAATATCTGCACAGTTTTTATATTCATAAATAATGGAGGTTAGTTTCTAAACAAACTGAGGTGCTGCACCAGTGGGGGGTATTATGAGATGATTTGGACTTATCAACTTGGTTGATAATGTAAATCAGAGACCGCGAAGAGGAAAATAAAAAGACAGTTTGCCTAAAAGAGCTTCAGTAGCGAGCCAAGGTAAACAAAATGACCCAAGTCTGGGGAAAAAAATACGGCGGACCATAATAATGTACTAAAATTCAATTTATCAGCCAAAATGCCGAGGTAAACAGAGCACTAAGCGCCTTCCTGTGTTGATGAAAATTTGGCGCATTTGAAATTATACCTCTTCCAAAACGCGGAAATAAACAGTGGTAAAAAAGCTCCGCTTTCTTAACAAAGATGTTTCTCTCTTATACAATCAGCTGAGTACCAAAGTTCGCGTGCAAAAAGCACGAGGTAGACAGAAATTTAACCCTGCAATCTTTAATCTTCCCGAAGCCATTAGCGTAAAGATAAATGCGATAAGGCTTTTTAATAGTGCAGATTTATCGGGAGGAGGCGGGGGGGAGCTATCGAACGATTATTCTCCGGCTGTAGTTAAGAGTAATATTTAAGTCTACATATAAATTCTCCATACTGACTTCATACGTATTTTTGTATGCTACTTGAGAGAATTGCCCATAACATCAGCATATTTATCATACTTGGTGTCTACCTTCCTTTTTATAAATGTCTGTTATTAACACATAACCATGTAATGATAACACGAAGCTAAGGAAGATAAAATTTTTGATTATCGCTGGAATGTTAAATAATCTGTTCTCAGGTCCCTGATTTGTGAACCCCCCTCTCCTCTCACTGCCCCGCTTCCCCCTTCACCCGAGTAAAAACGTGTTGGTTTCTATCAATGTGCACCGCCGATGAAAAGTGAAAGCCGTTTAAAAAAGCTTTCAGTGAAACACTTAAGGGAAGGATTAAAAGATAAAATCCCTTTTAACAGTTGAAAAATTGATATAGTAATGCACTTTGATGACATCAATTTGTTTCAGTTTTAGGCAGATTTTTACTCACTGTTCAAAGTGTAATGATTTCAGGCGTTAATTTTTTTTTCTGCATTTTAGCGGTTTTTTTTTTTTGTTATTTGCTTGCCTGCAGCTTTGGTGATGTACCTAGCTAGATCAGAAAACACGAAACTGACTAAAATCGCTCGAGAAACATTACAAAACAAATAAGACTCGGAAAGTGGTCGGGCTGCTTGTTCCAGAGAAGAATTTTTAACAAGATCACCTTTGGTGGCTTGATAGTCGTTTCCATTGCATCAAGACCTCGAGACTATACATTGACAGACGCTGATGCAGTTGGAAAGTAATTTATTTTTGTCATAAATATCGATTGACAAAGGTGACTTTCACTGAGTAAGTTTATATATTAAATGAAACGAGATGATAAAGATTAAAAGGTACGAAGTACAATTCTATTATCATTGATGGTAAAATGTGATCTCATTCACATCCCACATCACACATAACACATCACACATGACCCACCGCACATCACACATCAAATGAGTTACCGACTAATATCGTATTTCTGTCTCGTCTTTTTCATTACTCTCCCCATTAAAACACCATGTGAATGAGTCCAATTCATCAAACATTTAAATATATTAATTTTGTTCGATGGTGATCAAATCGTTCTTTCTAATTCCCTTCTCTTCGTCGTTATCCATTCCTATTTCTTCGAGTGCTACTGCCTTACCCATAGTTTCCTCTGGATCGTTTTGTTCCAGTGCTACATTATGAGCGCAAGGTAGCTCTCCCGAGCTACAAATCGTCAACCTTTTCTTGCAATAGCTAATACTTTTCAGCCTACACTGATCCGCAGACTCTCGACCCAATTCTCTCTCGGATAACCGTTCCGACAATGTTCTGGCGGATGCGCTTGTTCGAGGAATCCTAAAACTCGACCCAGGTCCACCACTGGCGACTGGCGTCCGGCTGCAATCGGCGCCATTACTTTCCTGACTCCGGTTCTGACAAAACATTCCAATAAAGGCGTGTCTGAAGCGATGATTCAGCACAGCGTATATGAAAGGATTGTAAATAATGGCTGACTTTGCAAGAAGCAATGTAACTTCTTGAACTAAAATCGAAACTTTGATTCCGAGCGATACACACAAAGATACAATGACATGAGGAGACCAACACAATAAAAACACGAAAATTACAACAACGATCATTCGCGCAGTCCTCCAATGTGGGAGGGTAAATTTGCAATTTTTCCTGCGCCTTTTTTTCAGGTAATTGTTTTCCTTTCCACGTTTGCGAACCGACGCAAAAATCGAAAAGTAACAATAGATCATGATTGCAAATGGCACCAGAAATGAAAATATCGCCACAGCTATGGAGTATATCACCGTCCGTTCGTCTCTATTCTCAAAATTTAGATAACAGCCAGTGAAGTAAATCTCCTCTTGGAAACCAATCCAGTCGAAAATGATTGGCAGCGTGAAAAACAGTGTGTACACGTGCGTTAACCCCACGCAAAATAACGCGCGTTTCACGGTAATTTTCGCGCCAAAAGACGGTTTCGTGATTACCCAGAAGCGGTCGAGCGAGATTATAGCCAGGGTGTTGAAAGACATTGCGTTTAAAAAGTGGTAAACAAAACCAAACGCTTCACACCCAACAGCTCCAAATAGCCAGCGATGCTTTACAGTGGAAGGAAAAGAAAAAGCCACATCCATCACCGCCAACATCAAGTCGCAGCCAGCAAGATGAACTATAAATAAATTTGTTGTCGTCCGCAGAGTTTTGTAGCAACAAAAAGCGATTAACACCCACAAGTTTCCGATAAAACCAAGGACTCCCACAATAAAAACGTAGGCGCTTATAACAGCAAGATCATGCTCTCCCAGTTTATCTGTTCCTTGTGAGTTGTTTCCGGTAAAGTTTAAAGACTCTCCCATGGCCAATCCTCGCGTTCAAAGCGGTGAAAGTCGCAATCCGCGGTTCAAGTGTTTGATGCTCACATCAGGAATTATTGCTCCTAGCGTAGGAACAAAAATGGAAACGTCATTAAAAAATTTAACAGAAACAACAATAAATGAAAGTGTTGCAATATGATGAATGTTTACGCTTCGAGGATGAAATGAAAAAAAGAAATGGCTTATGTTTTTTTTCAAAGTTATATTACATTGTTAAATTACAAGCTTTTTCCTCTCTCGAGGAGAAATTGTAAAACAGCAAGATATTAAGGCAAACATTGTAAAAAAAGCTGAAGATTGCATATTATATGAAACACAAAAGTTATAAAGCTTTGGCGATGTAAATGAAAAAAGGCCTCAGAAAAAGACGAAATGTGAAGCCGTTATGGCCTCAAGTAGTTCCTCTTGTTAAAGATTCTGGTAACTTCAATTCAGAGTAATGAATGTTTGAAATCAATCGAACTTCGTACTGCGGAGAACATAAAATAATACATCAAAGAATATGAAATGCTACAAATATCAAAACAAATGTCCTTCAGATTTCCACAAAAAGATATCGAAATCCGTCCAAAATATTTTTGATACTGATGGCATTAATAGGCTCTGTTAAAAAATATATATATTTTTAAGTCAAATACGTCTTTTTTTTCGCAGTCTCTCAAAATTTAAATGACTTTGGATTTAAGGGAAATGAAAATTTTCAAGCGCACACGATAAAGTTTTTACTCTATGGACATTGAAGAAAAGATAAAAATATAAATTTCACAGTTACTTTTAAAATGTTGGAAATTCTCACCTCAGCCGAAAACCCGATCCCTTGATTGATGTTCTCGAAAAGAAATATCACAGGTCGTGAAGAAAGCTGACAGATAGTTAGTCACTTGAGCCTTTCAACTGATTGGCGGCTTCTTTTCAATTGCTGGTGTATTTGGCAATGATTTTTGCTTTTTTTTTCTCTCTAAATTTCCGCTTTTCAAAATTTCACTCCTGCTGGCGTAGGAGTCGATCTGTTTGAAAAATGAGGCCCATTGTGTCAGTAGATTCTATCCGAAAGGATTTTGAACTTGCCGAAATGCAAATTTTTTCTTATCCGCCCGGCTATTGTTTGCAACAATGTTATTAAATTTTTCTTTCCAACGTAAATCCAAGACAAATTTCAATTGAAGTCCTTTTAAAAGCGCATTTTAAAATTTCTCGCAATTAAAGTCGCTTTGCTGCGCGGGTGTGAAGCTCAGTCAACAAAAGTACTTAAAAGACTTACAGGAGCACGTGTCAGATTTTCTTTCTTTCCTGTATAGAAAATAGTCATTCTTCCAAATGCGCCAAGGATGCTTAGCTTAGAGAATTCATAAGCGGTTTTCCGGAAATAAAAGAAGTCATATTTCGCTTATAAATATAAATACATTTTTTTATTTCTTGTGCTAGAATGCTGTAACTATAGTAAAACTATTGAACAAGTCGATATTGCAATCTTTCCCTGAGCATGGCGACAAACTTAATGGGGAATAAAGAACCAAAGCTGCTTCGCTTCTAACATGTGTCGACACGTGGCTTCGCAACTCCGTTGGTAGTGACGATTTTGGAGATCCGAGAGGTGCAAATTTTTATTACCGTCCAAGCCTTTCCTTTCTGTTACGTCTTTCATAATGGTTAACCTGTAAACACATTTTTTTTTTCTCACTCCTGATCTTATCCACAGGTAAATTGAAATTTTTTTCAGTTCACATATACAATTAGCGATCAGATTCCTTATCAACAAACAAAGATCTAACTGTAGAATTTGCGTCGCTCTCAACATGTGTCTTTGTGGTTTAGCATTGGTGAGGCATGGCGTCGAAACCCGACAAGGTCTTAATCTTATTCTTCGGGACTTATTATTTGCAATTGCTTTATATCAATTGCAGTTGACTTGTGGAGATCAATTCGTCACTTATCATTTCCAGGTCGAATATCAATTATCATGATTCATCCATTGTTCGTAAAGGTATATTAAAAACTTTGGGTCAGTTAACAAATTTCAAAAGTCTTGCCAATAATTTGTCGAAAGTGTCTTAAATATTCATTACTTAGGTAGAGTATGACAAACTGCTAGTAAATGTGTTTATACATTTTTATTTAGTATGACACCTATCAAATCAAATCAGTTAACTACCAATTTTGTTATTGTTATTATTATTTTATCTTTTTCAGTTTATTACAAAAGCAAAAACTTAAATTCTATGTTGATTGCCCCAGTTCCGGACAGAAGACAAAGAAGCAAACAATTAGCGGCAAATGAAACATCGATGGCAGCATTTTTCACATTTTCCGTAGGGAAAACCAAAATTGCCTGACGGAGATCGATGAGTAATTTTTTGGTCTCAAAAGATATTCAGTTCCAACTTTATATTTAATACGGGAACTGCATCCAATTAAACAAAACAAAAGTTTATCTTTTTGCTTTCGGCATGTCGGCTTTTGACCTCAGTTCTCAGCGGAGAAACATGTTTCCTATGCAACTGACAAGGAAAATTTGTTCAAAATCAAGAACTTCTTTAGTTGGTGATCCGTTTTCTTTATTCTTGTGACCTAGATCTGTCATTCAGGGGTGATATTGTAAGGAGAAATTAGACGCTGGTCCCTCTTAGGGGTCAAAGGGTCATGATCGGTCTCTAGTCGCGGCGTCTCCGTTTTTCATGATAACAGAAAATTAAAAAAATGTCCGTAATTGACTAATAAGTAAACTGTCTAAAAATCAGATAATTTAGTGTTAACAACTGGGTTGAAAACGTAAATTAGCCACCCAGTTGTTAACACTAAATTACCTGCTATACTCTCCCACCGACGCAGCACCACAGTTTCTTTAGAAACTTACCCCTTTATTCATTTGTCTAAAAATCAGTTGGTTCTAGCCGGCAAGTGCACCGGTTTATTGCAAACGGGCGGACAAGCATTAGCTAACGCCATTTTGCTAAAATATCGGGTGATTAAAAATAAAATCCAACACAAGATGATAGACTTATTTTTGATTCCAGATCGATCTTGAAATTGAAAGTACACTCCACTAAAAATCAGTCATGATTTACATCACCCTTCTTCGATGAACGAAAGTCTCTCAAGTTTGTACTTTTAGCTGTATTACTTACTAGATGTTTTTTCTTTTCCCGCTAAGTCTGGCTCTCTTTCCATCAGATCGCCATGCATTTGACTATCATCGAGTTTCGTGCGTTGGGTCGGCCAAAATCATAGTATATCATTAAGTGTATAAGCTGAGAACATCTAGCTGTTTATTTACGGAGAACAATAATGTTATAATTATGACTCGTGAAAAATACAAACACAGGAAGATTACCGACCGTATTTACTTTTTTCTAAGGGAACAAAGAACTCGTTCTCCAGAAAAATTGCGTTGGACTTTTAAAAATGCATTAAAAAAATACACACCAACTAAAAATGTCGTTAACCGCAAACTCAGCCTTCGTTTGTCAAGCAGATTTAAATTAATCTCTTCCCTACTCATGAATTCTTAGTTGGGTAAATGTTATTCTTATGTAGAAATGATATCAAAAAAAATTTCACAAGCACAGAGAACAGATGGTGAGAATGATTTAGGGTGAGTTCAGTTAATTTTCACTAACACCTGCAAGAACTTTGTATCAAAAACGTGTCTTCGATATTTTGAATCAGATAACAGCGCCTAGACGGACTCTTTTAGTTGGTAATGCGTGGTCTAAATAGCATTTGGTGAGCGAAAATCCGCCATTAACTCGTCAGGGAAGATGCTCTCATTTACATTTTCAACAGATCACCAGGGATAGTAATTTTAATGTAAATTTTGTTCGTATAGATCGGCTTGTTTTGGTTACATTTACCGTCCTAACGAATTTCACGCGTGTAGCACTTTTAAAAAGACAAACTTCAAGGCATATTCTGTTTGATTTTGTTTTTCTCTTTTTATCAAAAATTGTGTGAATTCGTAAGAAAGAGTTCCGTGTTCTGACGAACATTAATGGTTACGTCTGTATGATGATGGATAATGTTCCAAAGTTTCGTACTCAAAAGTCAATTTACAAATGTGTTTTCTAAGACCTCAAGGTCAGAACGTGTCATCCTGAATTTGCTTTTCACGGCATGATCTAAAATGGTTTACAGTATTCAAGAAATCGAGCTCTTCTGGAGTTTTTTTTGGGAAACCATCAAATTTAGTTTATCTCATTTACCTGACGTATTCCCATGAAGCGGTTAATTTGATTGACGTACAGTGCATGCTCCTTGTCCGGTGCTTTACGGGAAAGAAAGAATACATGAAGAAACACCAACAAAGGTAAACGTAAACGAACCAAGAATGATTTCAAAGAAAATCCATTAGAATTTTCCGAGGTAAAGCGATATGAGTGCTCTTTGTACGATCTGGTCCTGATTGGCCAGTTCAAACATTAGAATATTCAGTCGCCTACTAACGTCTCAAAGATAATTAAATTCTCGTGAATTGTCATATTTTCAACGCCGTGTTTATCGGCGGAAATCGGGAGATATAACCTCCTTTTGGCCTACCTAGTTGATGCCTTTAATGTATACTGTAACCATTATTCGCCTCGCTGTCGACAGAGGATATGTTCGACTAATAAAATGTGCTTCAGAACACATGAATGAATAGATAATTATACAGTCTTCCTTGATGAAATCGAAAACCAAAGATTTTCTTAAAGTTAAGACGCAAAAAGCACTGAATTAAAATGCGACTGGCAGTTGAATTGCCTGTAGTAGTGTTCCAAATTGTAAACATAACAGCTCGCGCGAAGGAAACAATTAAGTGAAAAGATTTCAAAAACATTTCACCCATTGGAGAATCTCAAAGGAACTGAATCTACAGTGTAATGCGATCGACAAATTTGAATATTTTCATGATGATTTGGATGAAGTTATTCGGGTGGCAAAGCAAGACCACCTTGAATTTAAAAGCGATTAACGAGAACAGATTATGAACAGACCTACCGATGAATTTCAGTGACTCTGAAGAAGTTGATTTGGCCCTCAAACCACACCAAAGTCGAGCGAGAGCATCTTATTGTGAGGGTCGTCGGCAGTTGTGTGTCGAACTGGTTAAATCATTTCAAATTTTCTCTTTGTCAGTAAATCAGTTTTACCACTTATCTCTTATTGTGCTACGTAGAAAAGCTTGCGTCACTCCTGGCAGATGCCTTCCTTAGACTTTATTGATTACGGCATAAACTGATATCTTTTTAATTTTTTTCGGGAAAGCTATCATCGATACTACAGCAGATGAAAGCGCTTAGAGGCATGTCTGCCTCCTGCTAATTTATTTTGTCTTTGCGGTTTTCTCTGCACGATGGCAAACAAAAAAATAATTTACTACTTCGTTAATTTTTGATTGGGATTAAAGTTATCATCAAAGTTTTAGCACCTGCGTTTCGCCTAGGGAAAACGTCTAGAAAACTGTGAGGAGGAAGTTAATGGCATGGACGAGAAAACCTGGTGAGTAAATATAAGTCATTATAGTACATGTAACACTATTTGCCCCTCTCCACGCATGTCACCAGGATGGCCGAGTGGTTAAGGCGTTGGACTTAAGATCCAATGGACGTATTGTCCGCGTGGGTTCGAACCCCACTCCTGGTAAACACGTCCTCTTTTTTTTTTTATTTTTCTCTTTTTATTCTACTTCCTACGATTTAATAAATCGATCGGAAAGTGTCATATTTGGTTTAGTTTTATCCTGTGTTACGAATCACAAGAAATCGTGGGGAGGTTTTGAATACATTCTTTCTATGAAAATTTAAGGTGCTCACAAGCGAAAATGTTTGTAATTCCAAAAGAATAAAAGCCATTGGTGCATCATCTTCTGATCTGCAACGAGAAAACAGAACAGCTGGCGAACGAGGTTTAATCACATCCTCCTGCTCAAACGGACATTGACACAGCAATTGGCACGCCGAGTCGGTTACTTTCAATATTACGGCGATGCATGAACTGATCGTACAGGCGTCGGTGCTACACGGCTACCAACTGCCACTAAGTTCCCAAGATTGTACCTCTACCAGGTCTTTATTTTCTTCTTCTTCTTCTTTCCTTTTTTAAGACAAATCCCGTTTGGCCTGCAATAATTAGATTATTTGCTAGCTCAGAGACATTTTTCTCATATTTTGCCGTGGTATCGATCGCTTTCAATTTTTTAATTTTTTTAAAATATTTTTAAATGCATTGCAAACACAACATTTTGAACCAGAAATATTAAAGTAGATTTAAAATACTGAACAACCTCGCCATTTTTCTATTGGTTGATATCAACGACATCAGATGCTGCATGAGAAAGTAAATATAGAGCAAGGAAATGGGGCCGAAAGACGAAACCCAAAGACAAGAGCCTGCGAGCGGACTAAACAGTCAGCGGTAAGAGGTCACAGGATAGTATATATGTCATATACAGGCAATTATTATGTCCCCAATACATATTATTGGTCTTTACATAAGCGGTGGAATACTGCCGATAAGCGGCTTTTAGTAAAACACCTCTCTTACTTTGCAATACGTGTCTGATATATTTTGTTCTTTAACTAACTCTTTGAAAAATTTACGGGTGCTTTGTTCTTCCAAATTGCTCGAGAAACCAGTTGAGTATTCTGTAAAAAACGTACCTACTTCTAATTTCAACTTTCTGCCCTCAATTTTACCCTTTTTCCCGAATTTTAGCTGACTGTAACGTCTGAGGTTACTTGATGTCCTCTTAGCTAATGGGAATGCCGAAGTAAGGCTTCTCGTGAGTTGCACGCAGTAAAGCATAACAACGCACGTGCGTTTGGAATTTGAGGATGTCTTTGGAATCCCAATCTTCGCGTGCCGTGAAAAACACAAGGAACACCTGATCAAAGTTAAATCGATCAAACACTTACTAGAGTGACACTTCTGGCAGGGTCAAAGAGAGTTGAGAGCTGAAGTGTAACTACCTCGACTATGCCATGTCAAGCTTCCTAACATAACGCCATTGCGTCTTAAAGAGGAAAAAAGCTCTTCAAAATACGAGGAATTGCTTATTGGCACCAGTACAAAACCCTCACAATAACCAAACTTTCATTAATTACGTAAAACTGAACAACACATAGAAGTAATCAATTGTGAAATTTTAATTGAAATGGTCATCAAATTTTTGTGTTCGCCCTATAAAATCTGAAACTCTAACTATATTATATCAACGTGTGTATGAATTCCGTGATGCAATAATAAACGGGTGTGATAAAATTAACGTAAATAGATTTCAGCGTACATTTCCTCATACTCACCCGAAGAGCGAGTATTATGTTTAAATTGCGCGAGCAACATGAAATGTGCGCCTTACGTTCTCGGCGCCATTCATGCAAAGATTCCGTTCTACTCAGAATTTCATTCAATACATATTGCTCTCTGCAGTTTAAACAATAAAAATTTGAAAGGAATAGAAACCCAACAAAAAAATATTGGTAAAAAAATTATTATGAACTTTGGAAAACTCAACAAAACATTTTAACTTGAGGAAATGAATTATTTCCCATAATAGAAACGTTTCTGTTCTTTTTGATATAGGTATAGCGCGTATTAAACCTTAAAAATCAATCAAATAAACATCTCTCCTCCGAGATACAACAAGAGAGCACAGTTACAATTTAAATAAGGTGGTCTCTTAGTCACTTGCAATAAATAAATGACAACATTTTCACATTCTATCAAGAAAAAACGTGTTCAGAAAAGTTAAGGGCTGTTTACGGCAAACGGCAAAAATTAAACTCAGTTTACGCCCGCTTTTCCGTTTGTGGGCTAAGACGAAAACAGTTGCATTTTGTTCAGCTTAAGATTATATTTCTGCGGTGTTAATTAAGAATATTGAAACGATGAGTAAACTGATCAGATTTCAGTTTTGCCATTTTCGTAAAAACACGCTTCAACTTCCGTCAAATTTAACTCCCAAGCAGTCACTCTTTATCTCCTGTTGGGAAAAACTCAAGAAATACTGTCCTACTTACATACCCTCTTACCATCTTGGCCCCAAAATTTTTTTTACAGCATTCACTTTGAAAAAACTCATGAATTCAAGATGATTTGTGGAGATTTGAATTTGCTGAACACGCTGCCTTGAAGATCGAAATTTCTTTTAAAATTTTCATCGCCAGGATTTGCTGAAGTACACGACCAGAAAATAATTCTGATGTCTAAATTAGAACCAAAAATTGTTGAATGAGTAATTTAAAATCCTCTAAAGTTTAGGTGAAAAAGTCAAAACACACTTAAGCTGCTGCTTCAAGAGAGAGAGTGAAAAAAAAAAGAAAAAAAAACCGGGCGGTGTTGACGGTTCATAAACAAATTTATGAAAATACAATAAAAAAGCACTGAGGCCATGATGCGGCGCTGAGATAGAATTTAAGTAATCTTTTAACGCGCCTCAACATTGGAAATACTTTTCTTTGTAAATGCTTCGCAATTGACACTAAATAAAAGGCGCCACGTTAAAATCACAATAACCCTTTCACGTCTCAACATTTGAATTAATTTACTCTATAAATTTCTCGGCCTAAAAATATTTTATTTGATCATATCGCCCGTTTTCCACAATCTGTCGAAATTGAGTGCCATTTCACGTACTACATCGCGCGCGTTCTGCGCTAAGACATATCGCGCTCTTTCGTGAAACGTGATACTAAGTCGATCCAAAACCACGAATCAAACCATTTCCATCTCTCTCGTCACTTCATCCAGATCAATATCGTCTAGACACAGACTCATGCGCTTCCAAAAATTCTGTATTTCCAGCAATTCATGGGCGGAAGTTTGGAGTGGATCCCTGTTTGATATGTGGCCCCTTCTCCCATAACTTGCGTGACTTTTCGTTCGCGATGGCATCGTATTTTTCCCGTTCGTTCTACGATTTCCAGATCGTAGTTTCTTAGTTTTGTGTGAATTACTTACCGATCGTTGAACGAAAGATCCCTCGCGAGAAGTCCTCGAGAGATCGCTTTCTTGATCAGTGCTCGTACTCGCGCGCGGAATACTCGAATCGGGTGACTCTCTCTTCTTTACTCGTTGCGCGCTCGCAGGTCTTGTACCTTTCTTGTACATCTGTGATGGTGAAGAAAGATTTTGCGATCGCGGATTCGTAGCCGAAGAATAAAGGTGATGGACGCGTTGAAGATTCTGTCCAGCTGTTTCTCGTGGTAAAGTACACAGAGGCGTTTCATTTGTTGCGTGCGTAAAATGTTGTGTTCTTTCAATTGGTAGTGTACCATTGTGTGGCGACGTTACATCTGTCGCGTTCAAAGGTGTACTCTTTTCACTAGCACCCTGTCGCGAATGATTCTGATCAGATGTTCCATCATGCAAGGTAATTAATGATCCATTACCCATATGATTTCCATTCAAAGATCGCTGTATTTTTGAGACTTTTTTTCGTCTTGAATAAAAATCTTCTCCATGGTGAAAAGTATCACCATTGGACTCTGATGCCGGTATGGGATCTCTTCCATTAAGAACTTCTTCTAACTCCTCTTTACTAGTACCAAAGACTGTGTCTCTTCTTTGGCCATCTTTAAACTCTACGCTTTTCACAACACCATTCTTTACCTTCGGGATAAAAGGCGGAGAAAGATGATCAGAAAATTCTTCGAGCATATTCTCGTTTGATCGCTGCAGTGTCAAAGCACTCAATCTATTCTTCTGGGCCTCAACGACTTGGGAAGGAACCTCCGTTTCGCTCAAAATACGACTGATTCTATTTCTGTTCACGTTGTTGGCGGAACTTGGTGATCCGATTAGGAAAAAGCTTTGCCTCCCACAACAAACTGCATCCAAAATCGCAGCTTTAAGCTTGCGGTTTAACATCACGTAGATAAGCACATTGTAAATCACGCACGACTTAGCAACCACAACTGTAATGTGTGACAGGAGAGGGTCAATGTAGCTATCAGAAGCTTTGATCAACGAGACGACAACATAAGGTACCCACACGATCATGGAGAAAAATATAACTACTATGATCATTTTCGCAGTCTGTATGTGTGTTCTCTTTAAGACGGGATACCGCTTCTTGACAGAATTCGGCGTTCCAAGTGATCTTCCTATTGTACGCTGCGTACTTCGGCGTACAGCGACAAAAATGCGCGCGTAGCAATAGATCATCACTGAAAGAGGCACGAGGAAAAGAAAAAAAGGTGCAATAACTGAATAAACAATAGATGAGGTTCTTTGATCGCCAAAGTTAATGTAACAGCCACTGAAAAAAACTTTTTCCTCCACAAACGAATTCCATCCAACACATGGAGGAAATGTAAACAAAAAGGTATAAAGGTAGATTATGAGTACTATTGCAATCGCCTTTCGTCTCGTAATTACTTGAACAGCCCGGGTCTGGCTCGGCCGGGTGATAAAAAAGAATCGATCCACAGAAATCGCCGCTAGCGTTGAAACGGTACAGCAGATGAAGAAGTAGTGGAAAAACCCGTACACAACACAACCGGCGCGACCAAACAACCATCTTCCATACAACGTGGACGCGATTGAAAAAGTATTGTCTAAGATGGAAAGCATCACATCGCAGAATGCCAGGTTCAGAATAAACAAATTAGCGGCTGTTCTGAGCTTTGGGTATTTCCAAAATACAAAAATCACCAGACAGTTTGCAATAATCCCACAAACTCCTACGGCACACAGATAAATAACGGATGCGAGTCTCGCAGTCCCATAATCGTCTTCGAACGAAGAACCGTTGACAAACAATTCCTTATTACTAGAGCTCATATTGTGTTTGCCGGCGAATTGTTGGTTCCTTCGTCGTAAAACTACCTTGATACGTCCTCATTTAGGTCACCTCTCCTGAAAGTCAATTTCCACGTAGTTAAGACATTTATGACTCAATCTTTTCACTTCATTTAACGCACGGAAACCTCAAGTCATGGAAATTAGATCGAACGTTCCGGCCAGTATCCCGTGGGTTCTAATGGATTCTAATGTTGACCAATCGCATTGAAGTGTTTAAACAGTTCTTTGACGCTATTACCATAAGATACAATTGTTGATTAATAGAGCCTTTGTAAACCTCGCACTTTTGTTCGCAAGTTTGTTGTTTACTCGCGATTTACCTGACCGAATATATTTCCTTCGACCACTGCAAAATAGCTCCTAGAAAGACTGGTTGCTCTGAAGATGTCAGATATTCCATCCAAATTCGATTAGCAGATTACGAGAGGCTCTTAATAACAATTTCAATAAAATTGTTCAACTCTAAACGAACGGTTCCAGACTAATATCTCTTGGGCATATATTATGCAAATAGCTGTCATCAAAAACATTTTATAGCAGTATCATTGTTCCAATGACGTAACTAAAACCGAAATGGATACGACATTCTTACGCCCGTTCGCCGCCTGAGTTTATATTTGGCTTGAGAAAATTGGAAAATGTATGTACACACTCAAGAGCTGGTTGAAAATTCAAGAGCGTAGAACAGGTAGAAGCGTTTTCCATCGTCTGTAGGGTTGGTATTTTGTCAGTGAGCTAAATGACCAATAATTTTAGACACAAAATGTCGTCGAGTAGGTTTCATAAAACGGCCCAGATTCTAAATTATATTATTTGCGGAAGATCAGCATATGATTATAACGGTATTAGAAGGTCAAATGTTAGAAGATAAATATAGTGTTTACATACCGACAGCGACGTGAGATTCAAGTATATCAATAACGTGTTTTGCATTTGAACGCATGTATAGATAACATAAGCCTCTTAGTGTTTTTTTTTTTTGTTACTGTTTTTTGTTCAATTTTTGGTTTTGTTTTTGTTTTATTCTTCTTTCTGATGACATCAAATCAGTCTGATTGTGCGTACAAACAATTTCTGTACAAAAATCAAGTCGGGCACTACTCTACAGACAACCAATTAGTTTTATTTTCGTTCATGAACTTCAGAAAAATACTGTTTTATTTTAATTTCCTGATACTGTTTTCTTCCTCTCTAACAATTTTTTTAAATATTAATCACAGATGTTGGCTCAGTCACGGATTTTTACAGCGTTAAAATCAATTTTAGACGGAACTGAAACATTCAATCTCTCGATTAGAACTAGACGATCAAAGAAGAATGTCTCAGCGTGTAATAAATACAGATCAAGGCACCAATGCTTGCCTGCAAATTTCGTTTCATAACCCGAACGTGGGTGGAATTTATATTGCACAAACCTCTTTTTTCTAATTATGTATACTTCAGGTGTCAAAATGACACTTGAATTTTTTATTAACTGTGTATTGTTTTGTCTTTTTCTTTTCAAAATAGTTCAGAACTGGAGGTAAGGAAAGGAAGACACGCCAGGTTCTGTCTGGTGGAATCGACAGTTCCTCCACTTCGTGGAAATGTTATGTCTCAGCTTCTATTATTGCCGAGAGCAAACAAACAGGAGAAAACAGACAAAAAAGACACCCCAAATTAGAATTAGCCTCTTGTTTTCGCAGACTGACTGACTGTCTGTGGGGTCGCGACTAAGAAGCTGCAATGTCGATCGACCTCTTTTCATCCCTGGCCGGGCTGCGATTCTCTGACAATGTTAGACTTAAGCCGGTTACCGGTGTTCTCCCACCGCCTGTAAGACCTCTTATCGCCATCTGTTAATTTAGCCTAAAAGCAAGCTATTAGGGTTCTCCTTATTGCCCCTTTTCCGGAGACAGCCGCTGTTACACCATCGGCAGCCACTAACGTGAAACCTCTGAAGGTAGGGTACGGGTATCCGCGCTTCTTCAACTCTGCTCGACACCGCCGTTTGATCTTCCCGCTATTTCTGTCTGCCACCTCGTTCACTACCGTTTCAGAAATAAATGTCACAGCATGTTCTGATGCAAAAAAATTCCCGTTTCACTTCAGATAAAGCCAAACATGCAAAGATTTTAAGAGGAGTTTCTTCCCTCGTCAATCCTTGAAATTGCGTGCGTGATTATCGCCTTTTGCGTGCGAGACTTTTTAAAGGTGTGCGTCAATTACACGAACAGGCTGTTGCTCTCGTCAATTGAATTGCTCTGAACAGACGGCATTTGTTTTATCTTTCAGCTTCAGTCGAGAGATCAGGCGTTTGCGTGCCACAAACTCTTGTTGTCGTTTGACTTTCTGGTTTGGACTCATTTTCCCTTGAGTTACTGAAAATTCGCGCGTTATCACGTTCCGCACTCGATACCCGTTCCAGGGATTGGCGCCACATCAAATGAATGTTTTTCTCATTATCTAATATCACTGAGAGCAGAAGTTGTTAATTTTTTTCTGCTGTTTTTTGACCACGAACGAGAGATAAGACATGTATTGAAAATCAGTGTTGTTTTTTAATTACCTAATCTGCGCTCTCAACTCTATAAGAAGCTTATGTTCTAAAGTCTGATTCCAAAAAATCTTATTGTTTCTCTTCTACCATTCTATTCTATGAAGAATACCTCTAAAGGCTTTAATTAGTAGAGTCTAAGTCGATTAAGTTGATACTGTAACTAGCTCCCAGAGTAGGACCTAGATGAGTGATTAAAAAAGGGAAAGAGAAAAAAAATTCCAAGTTCTCAGATTATTGACTTTGAAGCTTAACCAATGAGATTTCCGGATTTCCCATAAGTCTATTTGCGTTTCATTTGCATATATCATGGAAAATTGATTTTATCCCAGATTGATTGTTTTAGCCTCTGATGCAATCCTTAATCCTTGAGAGTGTTATTTCAATCATGGTTAATGTCATTATTTTGACACTTGGCGAAGGTATGACTTACAGTGATTTATGAAGAGTTTACATAAGGTGAAGTGGTCTAATAAAATATAAGCTTGTTACAAGTGCTCGGTCTGTGAGGGCAAGCTAGCCTGTTCAAGTGTTTCTTCTTTGCGGGTGGGTGAAAAAGCTGGCAGACAACAAATTGTGGTTGTAATTAAATATAGGGAGAAGTTTCTAGAAACTGCGGCACTGTGTCAGTGGAAGAGTATAACAAGATAATTGATCATTATCAACTCAGGTGATAATTTAAATTGGCCACCATAATAACTCCTGCCACTTTTCATGCACCGCTCGCTCCTATTGACTAAGGGCACGGCACAGGCTGGAGACTAACAAAATTTGGGTAAGAGTGAGGAGGGAAAGGAATGCCACTTCATCCCTGGGAATTTGCCCTTCGAAAAGGTGAAATTCCCCAGGAATAAAGGCCATGATAAGGCAAGCATTTTTTCCACATGCTCTTTACCTTGTCTCTACAAACCAAAATCCTGGCACAGACTGAGGGAGCCCGCACACAAAACCCAGCCGAATCCAAGAGCATTCCAGGTTGTAAAATTACATAAAAACTGTCATGTATTCTTAGCAATGGGAGAGAGGTTACTTGTAACCTATGATCATTCCCATTGGTACACCCCCTCCCTCTGGGTGTGACTAAGCATTGTGAAGCAGAGACAGTGCAGCAAGTTTTTGAGTGGGGGGGGGGCTATTTTTGGCTCCCTTATTTTTGTTAAATTATATTTTGTTCAATTTATTTTTATTTTTTCAAAAAAGTGGGGGGACTAAAACCCCCCCTCTGCGTAGTCCCTGAGAAGTTCTGCTTGGAATCTCACAACTGAGGAGCACATTTGACGCCTTGCAATCATAGGATGGTCTGATTTATTTCTTTTTGTGTTTATACAAAACATAAAAATCATATTAAGTTTAAAAGGCTTTTTTTGTAGCCATAAGCACTTGGTATAGTTGGTCAGGTGATTACCAAGATTCTCCAGATCTGATTGGTTCATTACAGCTGCATATCTCTACATAATCACCATGTGAAAGGTGATTGTAACAGCAGTCCTGCAAATAATTTCTGGTCAAACACTTATTTAACACCTTGGTAACATACATCAACAAAGACACTAAACACTATCTATTGTAACTTCATTCAGCATTTCAGTAACTTCATTCAGCATAGGCAGTTTACATAATAACCTTAATCATTCTTTGTACCAGTTTGTGTCTTTGTTATAAGCTTTGTGACAAGTTGGAAGCAAAGAAATAAATAAAAGTTACGATTTTTTCTGACAATCACTTGAACAAGGCCTCAGGCTTGGTAAATAATGACAATTGCTTTTACTTTCAAACTTATGTTCGGAGACATTGCTTTTATATACGTATATATGCTATTAGGCAAAGTAATGTCTACAACAGATAGGGAAGCCTGCATAGTCAATGTATGTAAATAATTCCTTGCTATGAAAAGCAGCTGAAAAATTAACAGTGAAATAAAATATTGTTAATATTTCACAACAAACACGCTAAAAACATTCTCTAAAATTGTCTAAAAACGTCATACGCTTATAACATATATATATTCCAAGGATGAGTTTTCTTTCATTCCCCGTCAACATAGAGTCAGCCATCCAAAAGTTCCCACAAGGCGTTAACAATATCGTATTTGGTTTTTTCACTTTTACTGAAACAGAATGGTTTGACATCGTTTAAGTTCGCGATAAATCCTTTAACTTGGTCATCGTCGCATTCATAATCCCATCTTATATGGCTCACGTTTGTATACAGGCTGAAATTGTACTTCGTTTGCGGAAGAACTTCCACTCGATCGGTTTTCACTTCTGCGGCCTTCTCTGTCCATTCCTTCATTTCTGCCTCTTTTTCAGTAATATTCTTCTCGAAGACTTTGACATCGGCCTCCAGTTTTTCGATGTGCTTTACAGTGGTATCTTTTTCAACTTGCAGCTTCTCTATTGCCGGCAGTTTTTCATCGACTCTCAAAGTTTTTTCCTCCTCCTCGTTCTTCGCTAATATTTTACTTAGGGCCCGCAAGGTCGTCTTGACACTTTCCTGCTGTAGCGATCGCTCTTCATCAATGTCGTTATAGATCTTCGCAACTTTTACCAGAGCTTCTTCGTCTTCTGCGCTAGCAAGAACTGTAATTACTTCATTGGGAGTATCCACAGCTTCTTTGAAGGACATCGTAGTTAAAACCTCAAAGGACGAGATCAAGAATTCGTTTCCCAAACTGTAAACAAAACTGCAATTTTGAAAAATGGCGCCTGAGTTCAAATTGGTTTCCAATCCTTACCGTGCCTAAGTAGTACTCAGACCTCTTTCATTATTCAATATGGCAGACGTTCTCGCTGCTGTTTATGACAGTGCAAAACTTTTACGAAATAGTGGATACTACAGCGATGCATTGAAAGAATTGAATAAGCTAATTGACCTTTCCAAGAAATGTAAGGAACAATCCGAATCACTAAATCAATTGTTATCTCGTGCATGGAACGATAGAGGACATTTAAAGTATTTGAAAGTTGACTTCGATGCTGCAATTTATGATTACACTCAAGCTATAGAACTCGATAAGAACTTTGCGGTACCTTACTACAACAGAGGGCAGATTCATTACAGAATGGGTACGTACAAGTCATTTGACACCACTCTGAAATCACAGAATGCTTTGAACTGTTTTGTTTTCTATGTATTTTTAAATCCACCAAAAAGAATTAACACATAAAAAAGAAAAAAAACTTTATTTCCAAGTTACTCCTTGACCTTAGGTATTTCCTTTGCAATCCTTTAATATGTTTGACTTGGTTATTCTTTGTTCTCATTTCTTTGAAATGACAGGACGTTATGAAGAGGCAGTGAAAGACCTCAGACAAGCCCTGAGAATTGACCCAAATTTTGAAGATGCAAGGCAAAACCTAGAACAAGCCATTCAAGATTGGAATCTTAATCCAAAATAAACTACTATCTGTGCATAGATTTGCTCTAATGAAGGGCTTAAGCGTCAGCTTTAAAATTCGTTATGGTAGCCAATTCACATCATCAACTCAGTTGATAATACTTAAATACCCTGTTATTCTCTCCAACCAACATAGCACCACAGTTTCTTTAGAAACTTACTCCCTTTATTCATACAATCTATGGAGACATTATAGATAGATGTGTTGTTCACTGTCATATATAAAAAATGTAATTCAAGTTATAATTCAAAGTCTCCTTGACAAACAATCTTTTTTTTTTATTTGTAGATAGAAACAAATTAAATAATTTTAGTTCAAAAGAATCAGGTAATTGAAAGAAGACTACTATTTATGAGTTGAAAGGACAGACAGTAATTTTCAGTCTAAATGGAAAAATTGTACATTTTATGACACATTATTTTTGTTAACCCTTTAACTCCCAGAAGTGATAAACATGAAACCTCTCCCTATAATATCCATACATTATTCAGTAAACAGGTAATGAGAATGTTCAAAGTTATCAGGTAGAAGCTGCCATCTTGATCAAGCCCCAAGTTCTCATAACTAATTTACAAGGAAATGTGTAGCAGCTAGAGGGGAGAATTAACAATCAGATCTTGGGAGTTACAGGTTTAAAGCTAGATTGATAATTTAGACTGCTTTGGTAGTCTCTTTTCTTATCATATCTTTCTTAATCTGTTCCTTGCGTTTACAGAATGGCTCACTTTCTGAGCTGACTTTCAAGTTTTCGTGTTAAGAAATGTAAAAGCTATTGAAGGACAAGGAAATATTACATCTCAAGAAATTATGTGACTTTCTATCCCTTAGCACCCACCCCTTCCATGCCCGTATTCAAGACTCCTGTAGCGGTTACCAAGCCTCGTTTTAGGGCTTGGGGTAGAAGACACAACTGAAGTCTGAAGAATGGTAAATGTCACTAAAGGCGTCCTAGTCGAATGGTAAGTTTTCTTCCTGGTTATTGGGTACAAAGAAACAAAAGAAAGGTTGTTTCTTCTTTTTAATTAATTTTTCCCGCGACAGAAATAAAAAGATCTAAAGATCACAACTCTGATCCGTACGGATGCATGTAAGCCGATTCATTGAAGAGATTTGAACATTTGAAGTTCTCGTAAAATCATACTTTTCTTCCATATTCATAGCGATCCTGCAGTGAAGCAGTTTCTTCTTCACCTCGATGAGAAAGTAGCTCTGGGAAAGAAGTTTGTGATCGAGGATCTGGATGAGACACACATATTCGTCTCTGCGGAAATTGTTCCTGTTCTCCAAGAAAAAGTGTGGGAAATAATGGATAACAACTCCTTCAATATTTCACAAAACAGTTAAAAACAAACAGATGGATCCAAGATTACAGTATGAGAATTGTTTGTTTCAACGTTAACATCACTGAGTTGATCTGTGCTAAGCACGAACCACATGCTACTGAGGAAATTACTAAGATGTTGGGGGTGCATGTCGGACAGTGATGGTTAATCTCTGGTAATTGATGAACAGATAAATATTGGGAAATTACGTGTGGTTATTTACTGTACTTGGCACTCGGACTTTGGATAATATCATGGAAAACAGCAGCGCTGTTGTAGCATTTCTGGTCATTGGTAAATCTCTGTCCGCTATCTCCTTCACCTATCTTCCTTATGCCAGTTGGTGCATCTGCTGCCAACCAGCTCTGTCACGTACTGCACTGCACCTCTAGCACCAAAAGCTCCATTTAGGTTTTCTCTCTCCTTCTCTGCAGTTCTCCTGTACAATTTCCTGGATCTTCCCCATCTCCAGTGTGTCTTTCAGTAAAACATCAATGGACAATGGACAGATCGACAAAGTAGAAAGAAGGCAGAGACCTACATACAAATAGTAAAACAGATGAAGAGCTGAATTGATTGTTTTGCAATTGTATAGTCTGCTAGACAATAAGTTCCTTATTTATCGAACATATTTCAACAATTTTTATCGAAATTTTCTTTGGATGGAAAAACTCATTGTATAAAAATTCCTCTCCTAGCTCATAACACAGTGAAAATAGATGGAGGGCATCTTCACTCAACAAATTTACTCATCTGTGGTGTAAACACTTGGTTCATTGAGATGTCCCTTTACTGGTTAGCTGTCCATAAAACTACAAGCACTTATCCAGAATTATTTGGCATTTATAGCCACTTATGATCCATCAAATATTTTTGCTCCTGTGCAATCAGTTTAAACATAGCATGTGACCAAATACCCCCCAGGAAAAACTGTGGGATATACAAGAATATCACCCAAGCAATATTCCCCAATTTTTAAACCTCATGATCACTATGATAAGTCTTCCTTTCCAATTTAATTCAAGATTAGAGAGGGTTTTGTGGTTATCACAGAAGAAGGGAAATCTGTTTTTGTTCATTGAGTCATACCAGAGAACCCTCCAAAGAAAACACCCCACACTGCATACAGTAAGCTGTTCACAAACATTTTTCCACATGTGTTGCAAACTAGTTGAAGGATAATAAACACAAAAGCCTCTATTTTGCCCAAAAGCATGTATGAATAATTCATCCTTGGACATTATCTGTCTCTTGAAGCTCACAGTTTTTCTTAAGCTTCACTCTTGGAAAACTGTTAGCATCTTGGAACCAATAATGTAGGCGGACAAGTGTCCGTAAATAAATTCTCCTTGTCAGCACTTAAGGAAATGGATAGTAAACAGTATGGAGAATGTGCATACTGATGTTAGCATGTAAAAGGTCATTTAACCCTTTCCATTAGGTTGAATGTGACTGTGAAAATTCTCTCATAATGTATTTCACACAAAGTACATTGCAGTTATTAAAATTCAATTTGTGATCCAAGGTATTTTTTCAGTCACGAATTGTAATGAACTGCTCAAACAAATACAAATTTGAGTGCCCACGTGTTTGCAGACTTTCTCAACTATTTCCTCAGAAATTCTCATAAAATCAAAGTGAACAGTTTTGTAGTTTCCAGACCCTACGTTCTATTGCGTAATACAATTGACGCATGCGTGAGAGAGTTCGCACGAGGTTGCGTAGTTATTTTCGCATGGTCTCTACCCTTGCGTTTCCTTCTGTAGATTTTTATTTTAAGTATGAACTACGGAGACAAAGGAGGTGGCCCTTCTGGGTATGATCCGAGCACAGGATATTCTGGTAAGAAAATGAGTCAGTTTTTCCATGATTTAACTGAATCCAGGACAATCGACCAAGCTAGGATGCGTCCCCGAGCACGCTTGTCAAATCCAAATTTCCCTTTTAACTTTCTGTTGTAAATTTGATGTTGTTTAGATGTTGATGTGGATTTTCCGAAACTAGGCGATCTAGACTGTGGATGTTTGTTTCCTTCAACCTGTAGTCGTTTTCGAGTGTGGCAATGTGGAGTTGGTTACCTTTTACCGGGTGTATTTCTGCAGTAATATTTATTAACCGGCGAACGATATGGGTTGAAAATAGCTCTGATTACTTTCTTACTTTCTGCATTTTAACCAAGCGAGTTGAGTTAAATTTGGTTATCATAAATTGGCATGACTGTAAAACGTCCTCTATGCAAGATAAAATCATCAGGTTAGCAATTTCCTTTCTAAAATTCAAACAGTTAGTGTGTTACGTCACAGAGACGAAAAATATCGCGAAATTGGCAAGCACGAGCAAATAGTTTCCCCGATCGACGATAAATATCTTCAGCTTACCGTAGTATTCTATAGGAAATATTTATTTCGGGTCTTACTGGAACCTCTACGGGATCATACACTGAACATCTGAGTAGTATCTGAGCAGAACTCGTAAACTGTCGGTGAAATGACTTCAAAAAGTGGTGCATCAGACATGAAATATCTGGAAAAGCTGTCGTGATTTTGGTTAAATTGCTTGGCTGGTTGATAAATGATTCCTTTCAGACAGTATTGTAGGAGATAGAATATTTTTATCATGTGACATGCATGTGATGGGTCACAGAGGACAAGTGTTGATTTTTTTTGCCTCTGTCCATCCTTTGGGTGGCAAACGGTATCTTGAAGAATTCTGGATTTGGTGATCTTTTTATTCAATCTCATGAACTTGTCAGCCTTGGCAGTGAGCATGAAAGTGGAGTTTTGTGTGCATTTTATTTTGGTCTGGCATTTCTTTCACAGCTTTCTACCTTGTGGGAACTGTTTGTACAGCCCTGGTATGAAAGCTGTCATTTGAAAATATTACAATTTAGATGCTGAAATATAGTAAAAGAGGTACAAAGAAGAGAATTACAGCTCTCATACAACATTTTCTGTAATAAATAGTTCCATACAATAATACTGGTTATTAAGTTTTGGTCTCAAACTTTCAGACAAGGCTCTCTGCCTCTCGGTAGTCTCAGATTTTACTATTTACCACTCCTCGTGTCTTGGTTTCTGTTTAGAATTTCCCCTCACATATATTTCCAGGTTTTTGTTTTCAATACATGAATGCTTTTCCTGTTACTTTTTTTTTTTTTTTTTAGTGAACAGAGGAGCTGGATTGTCACCATATTTGAATATTGATCCAACATATCTAAATCAGGTAAAGGGTGTTCTTTCATGATAAGTTGAATCCTATCTTTTTTATTCGTTCTTACCTGAGATCTATTGGAGGATGGACACATAGATGACATCACCATTATCAGTAACAAAATTTTGCTTTTTTTATCATATAAAACAAATAGATTCCATGTTGTCATGGGTTTGTACAGAAGCCATCAAAATATTGTAAAAACATCAGTGACACACTCGGCTGCACCTTGTGTGTCACTTTTTTGTTCTTACCACATTTTGACATCATCAGTGATCTTTTACTGAACAGACACGCATCAACACATCTGAGTTGAGACACCAGCATGGCATCAACAAAAATGTATTTCCTGATTGCCACCCACTTTCAAGCACATTGTAAACCCTTAATGAGCTAAAATACTCTACAGTGGTGTAACTCTTATACTGAAGCTTTTCATGTCAATTTATTTTCAGGGGGGTGCAGAGTTTGTCTTTCCTTCAGACAGTAAAAAGAAGAGAAGTTTGGGTGAACAAATGTTTACTGGGGTTGGAACATCATACATGTGTGGTATGTTTGTTAAGACTTTCACACTACATTTTCCTGTAAATGCTTGCAATAAGCAGCAGGAGAAGTTGCGATGAACACTTTTGAGTATTACCAGTACCCTCAGAGCAAACTTAGACGATACATACATGTACCAAATTCTACTTCATAGTTTTTTTTCTTTTATTTAATTTTATTTTAAATTTTCATTTTTTACTAAGTTCAACAGTTTTTCACTTTGATTTTGTTTCAACACAGCAAGTGTAACAAGTTAACAACTGGAGCTGTGTGTAGTTAACCCTTAAACTCTTTAACCTAAGAGTGACCAGCATCTAATTTCTCCTCACAATATCTACCCTGAATCACATGTGGAGGTCATGAGAATAAAGGAAATGATCACCAACTAAAGAAGCTTTTGATTGTTAAACAAATTCTCTTTGTCAGTACTGCAGGAAATGTATTAGAGACTAGTATGAAGAATATGCATACTGATGTTAGGGTCATGCTCCAAAAGAGAACAGTTGCTACAGGTTACTTTGTTTTGGTCTTTGGGTGGCTTAAATATCTGTGTTATTGTGACTGATAGTAAGAGCTTGGTACTCCTGGCTTTTAAGGCAAACAGTCACAGCACCCAGTTATTTTGTTTTTTCTCTCTCTTGTTAGGGTTGGCTGTTGGTGGAACATGGGGTCTGTATGAAGGTCTGCGGAATCCAGATGGAAAAACTATGAAACTTAGAATAAACAGGTCTGCCTTTGATTAAGTTTTAATTAAGTTTTCTTCCTTCCCAAGTGACAAACCTGTACACTTACTTTCAAGAGTCTCAAAAAAAAAAAAGTAACAATTTATTTGTCATCAGTAAATTTTCACCTTTGTGGAAAGTAACCTACAATTGTACTTGTTTAACTGTACTTCACTCTCTTATTGGTCGTGAAAACTTCCACTTTCTCAACCAAAGATATGCAAAACTAAAACCCAATCTTGACTTGAATAAAGGTGGTGAGTTTCATTAGAAACTGTGGTGCTGTGTCAGTAGAGGGTATTACAAGATAAGTTATCAACTGAGTTGGTGACATAAATGAGCCACTGTAAAGAATTTCTAAAGCTGACGTTTTGAGTGTTAGCCCTTGGTCAGACTTGGTCACTTTTTCCTGAAGCAAACTGCTACAGACAGTTTGCTCTGTTTAACTCAGCCTCTCATTTTTGGTCACTTGGATTGGCCAATTTGTTTGCTTCCATTAAATTTGTTTCTAACTCTCATCTTTAACTAATGAATTATATTGTTTAGTGTGTTAAATGGTTGCACAAGGAGAGGTCCATCATTTGGAAACAGTTTAGGAGTTATAGGTAAGGCAAATACAAAAATAACTACAGTAACTGTAGTTGTCAAATAAATCTGTCCGCAGGGCTCCAAGCTCATTTCTTATCAAATAAGCCATTTGGTGACTTAATGGTCATAAAATAACAATTAGACATAAACATTTCAAGGATCAAGACTCAACCCTTAGACCCGTAAGAGTGACAAGCATCTAATTTCTCCTTACAGTGTCACCCTAAATCACTCAATAAGTTAGTGAGAATAATGAAATGATCAACCAACCAAAGAGGCTCTTCATTGTTAAACAAATTCTCCTTGTCAGCACCTTAGGGAAATGTACAGAGAACAGTATGGAGAATATGTATACTGATGTTTGAGTGTGAAGGGTTAAGCTATCAAGTTCCATTGATAACCTTTTGTTTTTCTTGTTCACAGCTGTCATGTACTGCAGTTTAGAGGCATTAATTAGCAAGGTACGAGGAGGAGAGGAAGACGAGTTCAATTCCATTGGTGCTGCTACTCTTGCAGGAATGATTTTTAAATCAACAGCTGGTTTACGGCCCATCGCCATCGCAGGTGCTGTGGGAGGAAGCCTGGCAGCAGGTTATCATTTTGGACAAAAGCTACTGACTAGCAGAGGACACACTATCTCGACACCTAACTGGGCATAGCCCTGTTGTCGATCTATGCTTTTCTTCTCTGTTGCTGTGCTTTGAACCTTGTGCAAATATCAGGAAGTGAGCTGAAAGTGGCATTTAATTGTTGCACCAAAGAAATACCAAGGAGAGAGGACTTTATTATTATTATTATTTATAATAATTTTGCGTGCTTTGCAATTTTGAGGGCATCTGTTCCAAAGACATTAAGGTCAGCATTCAACAACAAAAACATTACAACCAGAACATTAACAAGCCAGAATATATCCTGGAAACTTGTGGAGACATACAATACCATGGATGTTGCTTATGAACTCAATGTGCAGCTATGCAACACATATATGACCAAGCTGACGACGAGAATGTTGTACAGAGGGAGGACTACACTGGGTTTTAATTGCCACATTGCAGAAATAAATAGTGCAACAAATAAATATCTTTCCAGTTAAAAGAAAAAAAGTTGACTTGCCGGTCATTAGTGTGTTCAATCTGTTTTCCATATTGCAGTGTTTCCTTTTTGAGGTGGTAACCAGTAAAATTTTTAGCCTATGTAGTACCTCCTATTACTGTGTAAAATTGCTTGGAATTCTTGAAAATGCAGCAGATAAAAGGATTGCCCCATCAGTTTGAAAATACCAACAACAATTAAAAATACTTCGCAATACTATACACCAAAACTTCCAATAAGTTGTTTATTATCCAACTGCTTTTTTACTGCCATTTGTTTCTGCACATTTCTCACAAGGCAGGAAAAGTAAATTGGGTAGAAAAGCATAGCATACACAGAAAACTGGTTAAATAGGTTTTATTACAGTACAAAATAACCAACTGCACGATATTGCAGGATATTTCACTCTTTTTAATGGTTTTTTTTTTCTACTCTACCTTGTGCAGTTGGGTAATAACACTATTTAATGTTTCATATATTCCTGAACACAATGACCTGGCTAGGTTTTGAAACCAGACCTCTTGACCTGAATACTAGGGCACAAACCATTGAGACACTGCATCTCCCACTACTGTATTTCATGAAGCTGGGTTTATCAATTTCAAAATTATTGAGAAAGACCTTGACCCTTCAAATCCCATGAGTGACCAAGACAGAATTTTCCCTCACAATATCAGTACATTATCAATCAGACTATTGAAGAGCATAATAAAAAAATATCAAGTAGGTGATTATTAGTTGATCCAACACAAAATTCTCAGAACTAAAATCATGAGAATTGCATGGCAAACAGTAAGAAGAATCACTAATGAGATCTTGGGAAAGAAAGGGTTAAACAGCAAATGCAATATTCATATTCTGCCAAACTGCATGTAGTTAATACATTGATTATTCATTCCATTCTGGAATAACTACAAGTGACTTTGAGGTTATTATTTTACATGATATGTGATATTGTTATGCCTGGAAAGTCAATCACAAATTCACAACAGGAAAATTAACCCAGTATAACTGATCAATAACAAACACATTTTAAAACGTTTCTCTGTGCAAGAGATTTGCATTATGGCAAACAATTGGCATTTCTATTGTTACATGGAATAAAAATGAGCACTTGTCACTGTGATGTATAACCTTTATAGTGGAGGCTTAAAGGTTCGGTGGAAGTGTGGGAGGGGAGGGTGAGGAGATAGGAAAGCCTGCATTTCTTGCTTGAAGTCCAACATTTGCTCTATAGTCATAAGGGTCTGCAGGTCCAGGAATAACATGTCTGGGTGCAAATCCTGGTGGTAACCCTGCTGGGATATGTTGAGAAGTAGACAGCCTCTGTGTACCAAATTGAGGAAGGGGCACGTTTCCCATTAGGCCAGGATATGTATCGGGAGAAGGTCCCATGGGCTGTGACATAAATGGGCCTCTTTGAGATGGACCTCTTTGAGGTAGCCCTGTATAGAGTCCTGTATGTCCCATTATCAATTGTTGAGGACCTTGAGGTGGGTGGTGCATGTAGGGATTCCCTGCGAAAAGGGAAGGTCTTAGCCCCACATGAGGAGGTGCCCTGAGTGGTAATGTGCCTCTTGCAGGGGGAAAGGGTCTCCTTGGGCTAGTAGCAAAATTCCCTCCATCTTGGCTCTGGTTGGCAGGTTTTCCTCTTCCACGGTTCTGCCAAGTTCTTTTCCTGCCACCTGCAAGTTAAAAGGCCATAACTTGAACTTACATAGAAGGGTATTTCATGTTACCAATGCCCTCATTATACATTCATTCCTTCAGTGCTTCTCTCTAACCTGATCCATTTTCCTAAAAACGTACTGGCTTGGTAAACTCATTTATACTTCTAGTCATATTGAGCATTATCTGCTTGATGATAAAAAAGAGATACAAATTAACTAAAAACTGTTTTACCAATAAAAGAAGGCCAATATACAACCTGGCAGCTCTATCATTTCATTCTCTAGTTAGTGAATAAATAAAATACCATAATTAAAAATAATTATAAAAAATTCTCAAAGTCTACCTCGATTGGATCCCTGTTGAATATTTCTTTCACTCTCTGTGTTACTTGCTTTATCAACATCTGCAGGTGGGCCTTTCTTAGCCATTCTGTAAGTTAAAAGGGAAAAAAAAGGACTAATTCTTTATTTGTAAATTAATGTATTTAATGCATTTTGTGAAGAAATCTATTCACTGTATTTTCCTCAGGTACACAAAACTCCTTTCAAGTTTTACCTTTCCTTCTTTTTGCTGGCCTTAACCTTAGCTTCTTCCTCATCATCAGAAAATTCCACAGCCTGTGAAACAAGTCAATAAATTAAATAACTTTTTTATTTAAGCAGTAAATTTGGTCAGTAATTTACAAGAGTTTCAATAAATTTTTCCATAAACAGCAGCGGTTGGTGTAATAAGTAGCTGTGCCATGAGGCAAAACCCAAACATGGAAGCCAGCCCACAGGCTAAACAGACAGCAGTGGTAAGATGTCTTACAGGCAGCAGTAGACTGCTGGTAACCCACTTTTATTGAAACCTTTCAATTTATCAAACTTATGACAACTCAAGTTTTCTTTGTTTGGGCAAAATAACAATCCTTTTAAACTGATGGTGCTGTCATCCTTGTAATAATCCTTTTGTTTTGTAAATAGAATAAGAAAGATTGTAAGTTTTGTAAGTTTTGAGCTTTGTAAAAAATAGAGAAAGATGTTTTTCATCTTGTTGTGGGACAAAGAAAAAATTCTGAGTCTCCATGAGGAATTGTAACCTCACACCTTTAGATTCCGCGCTTTGATGCTTTACCTCTGAATCACAGAGACTCTATAGTGTGCAAGGCTCATTACAAAGTTCATTTATGACATGCATCCTGCATACTGCTAGGATCAGCAATGTCAATAGCGTCATGTTTTGTAAACAGAATAAGAAAGATGGTTAGTTTTGTTGTCATCGCTAAATCACCTCTACTGGGGGTTCTTCATCATGTTCCCATGAGGCATCAGATCCCTTCAGCCTAAAAGTAAATTGGGAGAAAAATGTACAACTAAATTTATTGAGTGTTGAGCAAGCTACATCTTTGAGGCTTACTGATTTTACAAAAAAATACAAAATAAGAACTCCATACATTTAAGCTGAAATTTAATATTTTCACTACCAAGATGCAATTTGTAATTCTCTTTACTGACTTCCAAATAATTCCTTGGGAAATATCATTCCACCATGAACCTCATTCCCCACAAAGTCTTCTTTTCAGTAAACTCTGCCAACTCCAAAACTTAACCCCTTAACACCCAGAAGTGATTGATGTATAACTTCTCCCTACAATATCCATACATTATCCAGAAAACAGGTATTGAGAATATTCAAACTCATCAGGTAGAAGTTGTTCCCTTGATCTAACACCAAATTCTTGTGAGTAATTTACAAGGAAATGTGCTACTAGAGGAGAATTAAAAATCAGATCTAACTCTGCTTGTGCAGAGGCAACTCTTACTTTTTAAGCTGTGCCACAAAGACAAAGTTGGAATACTCCATCATATCAGGAGCATAGAACACTTTGTCTCCTACATGAATATTTCTTTTGTCAATGTCTGCCTCATTGTTAAATCTGACTGAATAAAATGGAGTCTGCACTGGTCCAAAGGTCTCAAAAACCTGCAGAGAAAAATGCTTATTCATTTATAAATTCTTGATCAAAGCCATGGCTTTGTGAAATATTCAATCACTTTTTTATGAATAAGTCAGAATACAGTTTCATTTCAGATGAATCACAGAAGTAATGTCACTAACAACTTGGTGTAGACAGAAATTTTACAGTGCCGTTAATTAATTGATTGATCACATTAAAGCACTCAAACAATGATTCCAACTAAATTCAATTATGCCTACTAAAAACTAAGTAAAAACAAAACTACAATCAGCATCAAAATTGGTCAACTCATCATGCTTGAAGAGTTCTATTTATGTGTAGAATAACACACCTGTTTCTACCACACTCTAAATCTAAATCATTGACAAGACCCCTTCCCCCCCTCCCCCATTAAATGTGGCCTGTATATTGCTAAGGTTCATGGAATCAAAAACAATTTTTTTTTTTTTTTTTTTGGGGGGGGGGGGGGGCAAATAGGTGAACTTAACAAGGGGAAAACAGATAACATTGAAAGGTTAAAAAGGTCAATGTGTCAACAATTTTGTTGCCAATTGTAGCAATTAAGAGTAGGATATCATAATTTCTGGGCTGATTTCCAGCATTTAATCTGTTAATTGCAATTGTTGCTGCAGGTATTAGCGAGGTGCAGGTTATGTGACCATTTGATCTCTTCCAATACTGGTTACAACTCTTTTACATTAACTACCATTTTGAAACAATCACTTATCAGGATACACTTCCAACAAGACTTCATCTTCACTATACATACCACACCAAGACAGGATCTGTTCTCCAAGAAAAGAGCACTGTCTGAATCCAAAGCTGGAGTTTGTGGTAAGGCTTTTACTACCACTAAAAGAATAAAAGAGCTGCAGTGAAGGTCAAAAATTATGAAGAAGAACTGGAATGCCTTGTAGAGAATTAAACATCATCAGTCTCTTTGCCTATAATGTCTACAATACAATTGTTGTGATGTTGGTTTGGAGAATTTGGTAATGCATCTACTTGTGATCCCCTAATTTATATTTTTCTTTATTCTCATCACTTACCTGCTTGACATTGTATGTTTATTGTAAGGAGAAATTCACTCTTGATCACTCATGGGAATTAAAGGGTTAAGTTACTAAGACTTTCTAGGAACAGGCCTTAGGTTGCTGGTAATGTACTTTGCTTCTCTATTTTGTTTGACAGATTGGTAGAGAGGATGTCATGAGTTTCCTGAGCCACTCACAGTATGAAGTAAAAAAAAAAAAGCAATGTTATGCCAGATTTCTCAAGTCAGTCAATACAGAATGTTTCTAGTTAACCCTTTACATCCAAAGATCAGTATGTATATTCTCCATTCTGTTCTCTATACATTTCCTACTGTGCTGACAAGAGGAATTTGTTTCATGATCAAGAAGAAGAAAAAAGCTTACCTAATGACTCAACCACACTGAACACCACTCCAAGTTCTACAAGCTGAACATTTTCATCAACAGTAATATCCACATCTGGAACTTCAGGAAGGTCCTGAAAATATATTTATTTTTAACTGTACTCAATTTAATGATCACATTACTGTTAACATCTATGACCAGGATAGCAATTCTCCTTTTTAGCTGTTACAAACTTCCTTTGACTTAGTTTGGAGAATAGGGTCTGAGATCAATGTTATACTCTCCAGCTGATAAGCTCATCTATTCTTATCACTGTTTTACTGGATGACGTTTTGATATTATGAGAAGAAATTTCATGTTGATAAAGAATGGCATTTGCATAAAACATGTAATATTGTATAAGAAATCTCTCTGAATTTATTTTCTCCCCATCTTTTTAATTTTCTTTTTTCCTGGCAGAAAAAACTTAATTTCCGACATTAAAAGAGTTGAGCCAGGAGCCCAGTCCTCAAAAAAAAAAAATAAAGCACAGGTACCTTCACTGACAGTTCACTTCTTGTTTTCAGTGGCTCTACATAGGTACGATCCTCCTCTTTTTCAATCTCTTTTCTGATGTCTTCTAGATCATCGCTTGAAATTTATTTAGAAAAACCATTATCAACCAATTAATACATAGATCCCATGTTGCCAATTGTGTCTGTTCAGTGATAAATCACAGATGTAGCAAAAATGTGGTAAGAACAAAAACATAGCACACAAGGCACAGCTAAGTGGGTCATTAATGTTCTTTCCACATTTTGACATCTCCCGAGATCTGTTACAGCACAGACCCACAGTAACATTGAATCAATTTGTTATAATTTGTCCAATGTTTTAAATGATAAAAAAGTAAAACACTTTTAATGACAACATCATGTAGGCATCTGCCGCCTAATAGATCATAGGGAAGAACCAATCAAAATGCTTTTCTAATTAAGGTTGGTATATACCTAAATCTAAAAAGATAACTATTCAATACAAGACATCATCAAAACAATTTAGTGAATGCATGTGGTTGTAACACCTCAAAAAAAACTATTTCAATCACTTACTCAGAGCTGGATTCAGAGCTTTCACTTGATGAGCTTTCTTCATCTGAGGAACTATCACTAGACGAAGAGTGAACTGCAGTTGGATCCTGTGCATGTTCTTTTGTCTGCACAGTACTCCCAGCCTCACAGATAATCTCAAGTTCTTTGTCAATACTACTCATAGTGTAAACCTGATGACAAGTATTTCCATCATGGTTTGTTGCAAAGTGACCATGTTGCTCTAACTCTACAATTCTGCATTGATCTCTTTGGGACTCTTCAGGAGTATCTATGTCTCTCATGTCATCTGGCTCTGCAACTGTTTGCTCACCACTCTCTGTTGCTACAGATGGAACATCATTACTCATTAAAAAGCTCTGTCCACCATCCTGTTCCTCAACAGATGTGTGTCTCCTGTCAGTAGACTCATCTACTGTGCATTCATTATCCTTAGGTTTTATTTTAAGGACGTGTTCACACCTTTTAGGTTGTGGTAATGCATGGTCGTCTTTTTTAGGATATAAGGGAATATCATCATCACCACTTGGTGCAATGATGTAGTCCTTGTTAGACAGAACCTTCAAAACTAATTGACTATCACTTTCCTTTAAATCAAGAGCGCATCCATCACTCCCAGGTTCTGAGAGCATAAAAGCATCACTTTTAGGCCCTACGGTAAGTTTACTTTGAGGCGCAGTCCCAGGCGAGCTAACCCTATTTAAGCTGTTGTTTTGTTCTTCCAAAGCTGTACTCTCCTCTCTAACAGAACCTAGATTAACACCAACATTCACAAAGTCATTCGTGTCCATTTTGTTGCCAATGCTATCTTCAACCAAACTGCTTTCTGCAATGAGGCGAGTGTCTGCAGAAGTCTCGTCCTCTGAGCTGGAATACGCTTCTGCAATTACTGCGAGACAGTTCTTTCCATCAATGCTGACTGTTCTCGTTTCTTCCTCGTTTGAGACTTTGTCGTCTTCGAACTCACACATTTTCTCGGTTTCATGCTGCATTGTAGTTTGAATGCTTAGGCCTTTTCTGTTTTAATTACAGGTAGGTGACACGTTTTGTAATGATAAAATTTCCTCTAAACCTCTGAATTTAACTCTTAGAAGTTGTATACCTTGTTCCTTACTTTTGAGGCATAGGCGAGAGAAGATACTTTGCTGGTGTAACTGAAAAACAAATGACACGTTTAGCTACAAAAGATCTGTAAAATTTTCACTGATCGCGTGGAAAGGCGGCAAGAAAACCACGTCGAAAATTGGCAAAATAGAGACTTCACTCGACATGTTTACACACACACGTGCTTTGAATGTACATCATGATCGCATATTCACATTGCCATTTGCCCAAAATGCATCGCGCGCCTCCATGTCGCTCTCTTCGGCTCCACCAACAAAGTGAAGGTAGAAAACAATTTGTCTACCTTACAAAATCCGTTTGAATCCTCAAAAATCCTTACACCGTTGTTGTTGATTTGAAGTGATCTGAAATGATTAACGTTTGGTGTGTCCATTTGTGTTATTTTCGCTCCAGATGGTGCAGCGACTGACTTATAGACGTCGTCTTTCCTACAATACCAAATCCAACAGGAAAAGGATGTGAGTTGCGCGAAGAGTGAATGTTACCTTTTATTACGATCATTTTGTCCTTCCGTTAAAACTCAAGTGAACAGTGAACATAATTCTAATTTATCTTTTTTGTTCTCTCTTTTCGCTATCTGCAGCTCCAAGACTCCTGGTAAGTTTGTTTTGAATCTTTATCTCCTTTGTAACTCGTGCAAATTGTGGCATAGTCTTCAGATGATTACGAAAAGATCGTCGTATTTTTTCTGCTGAATTGAGAAGTCTGTATTTTGAAGAGTTTTTTAAAGTATTGTTTTCTTGACGTTTCTCTGCATTGTCAATCCGTTTGGGGAGTTGTTTCTCTGACAGCTCTCTATATATTTTGCAGAGCTATTAGAATACTTGGTTCCATCTTGATCGTGTTGTCTGATTGTCCGGGTGAGAATTCCCCATCGATTTCACTTGGTTCTGAAAACGTCTGTAACACCACCATCGTTCCTTTTCAAGGCGATATCAATCAGACAACACAATCATCTGTTTCTTTTTTTCTCAAACCATTTTTTGTTCTGTTGTTTCTCCATATCCTTGCCAATTTATGCTCAATTAATTTTATTTTTAAGGAGGAAAGTTGGTTTACTTGTACACAAAGAAGCCAGGCAAGGTTCCAAGATGTGGAGGCTGCCCAAAGAAACTCCAAGGAGTGAGTAGATATTTAGAGGGTGTTACTCAGAAGCATGAACATGGGTTTTATTTCCAGTTAACCCTTTGACTCCCAAGATCTCTTTGGTAATTCTCTTTACTGTCTGCCATACAGTTCTTGTGATGTTAGTTTGGAGAATTTGGTATTGGATCAATTTCTATTCTCCTAATTGATATTTTTCTTTATTCTCATCACTTGTCTGCTTGATATTGTATTGATATTGTAAGGAGAAATTCTGTCTTGGTCACTCTTGGGAGTTAAAGGGTTGAAGAGAATAATATCTTACAAAGGATCAATGTCAGTATCTGATCAACTGTGCACCCACCCCTCCCCTAACCCAACAACCATCAACTGACAACAAGTGTGGGTTAATGGTTAAGGGAGGGGTAGGTGCGCAGTTTCCCCAGATGCTGGTATTGACCCCTGACAAACAAACTTGATGAATTGGTTTGACAATGTTTTCAACTGGAGAAAAGAGGAGTGCAGATGTTGTAGTTTACATTAAGTTTCAGGTCAAGGCAATTTCATACTGTATTGATTAGTTTTCCTCTTTGCAATTGGTACCACTATCCTTGCACAAAGAAAAAGACAAATCAAAAAATTTGAAAATCACCTCAACCTGAAATCATTTAGAAAAACTACAACTTGGGGTAATATCTTAGACAAAAAGAAAGAAATGATAACTGCTTTACCAACAGAAGTGTGTAGTTCATAAGAGAATGGGGAGTGGGAATGTTTTGTCTTCTTGTTGCTTCATTTTTACATCAGGAGTTTGGCAATTAACAACCAGAGATTACTGGTATACCTAGTTTTTAATGCCAGCTTTTCTTTTTATGGACATTGACAAGTAGATAAACAAATTTCCTTTTTATTTTTTTCTAAGAGTCAGATCAAACAAATTCAAATTAAAAAAAAGAGCTTTTATGTTAAGCCTGTATTTGTAGTGACTGGCAAATGTCTACTATGCACTCACCTTAATTGAACCATCCATCAATTTCCATTGATTTTTGCAAAACTGTCATGTAGTTGCCAGCTCTCCGTCCAAAGAAGCTGATGCACATCTCTAAGCCCCGAAAAACTGTAAGCAGAGCATATGGTGGCTCACGATGCGCCCGTTGTGTGAGAGAAAGGTAAGGGTTATCCACACCTCAGAAGAATATATTTCTCCATGAAAGGAAAGAGCTACATCCTAAAAATTGGTTACTTTTGAGTAAATATTACTCTTGAAAAATACCTTTGCAGAAAATCTTAAACACCAATGATGAACTTTTTCATGACCACTTAGCAATTGTTGCCAGTTTAACCCTTTGCACTTTAATATCAGTATGCATATTCTCCATACTGTTCTCTATACATTTCCTACTGTGCTGAGAAGAGGAATTTGTTTCATGATCAAGAGCAATTTCAGTTGGTGATCATTGACTTTAATCTTGTGACCTTAATGGGTGATTCAAGAAAGACAGTGTAAGGAGAAATTAAATGCTAAACACTCTAAAGGGTCAAATCTTACCTAATGACTCAACCACACTGAACACCACTCCAAGTTCTACAAGCTGAACATTTTCATCAACAGTAATATCCACATCTGGAACTTCAGGAAGGTCCTGAAAATAATCCTTTAACCCATTACACTTTAATATCAGTATGCATTTTCTCCATACTGTTCTCCATATATTTTCTAAGGTGCTGACAAGGAGAATTTGTTTAACAATCAAAAGGTTCTTTAGTTGGTGATTATTTTCTTTATTCTTGTAACTTTAATGTCTGATTCAGGGGTGATATTAGATGCTAGACTCTCTAAGGGGTTAAAGGTTTTAGAAGGATTTTTTTTTTTGTTTTTTTGACTCATCAGATTTTACCTTTATTTTTTTATAGGATAGTCAGGGCTTTCCTTATCGAGGAACAGAAGATTGTTGTCCGTGTCCTTAAAGCACAGCAAGGGAAAAAAACATCCTCTGATTAAAGCTGGAAAATAAATGTTTTGTTGTACATACACTGTCTGTGTTTGCTTTATGCCTGCTATTTAGCAAGCAATTTTTAATGTGGTGGTGGGGAGGAGGACAAATTTTTTTTTTCCTTATAATTCATTAGTCTGCTTTTTTGCCTTCACTTTCGCTCTCACCAGTCTTTTATATCCATTATGGAAGCTCAGGGTCGTCATTGAACTTCATCTGAGCTGAGTGGGCAACTGAATTGATTACTGCTTTGAAATTTGAAATCTGAACTCCAGTTAGGGTAGAAACTCATTTGGTTCTGAAGGATCTTTCTTCGAGCTATGTTCGTGATATATTTCCTCTACACCAGCCTGCTAAATAACACGAACTATGCAAGCTCCCTTTGGAATACTGTGAAGTACTGCCCGCTAAATTGACCAGTCATAGCCCTAGTATGAACTAAGAGATAACAAACTAGAATGTTATTTTCTATTAAAGAAATTGTAACCTTCTAGAAGAACATCTGTGGAAACAGAAAAAATCGTGAACTAATTCTCGCTATCTGGAGTCGTAGGTCGGTCGTACTCGGATACCTATTGAGAAATAACGAATGCAGCTGTACTGTTGCATGTTAAACTGAAATACTCACCTACTCTTGTCTGAATTGTAAGTGAACATGACATAGTTTCTACATTTTCAATTCTCGTCAGTACTGTAACCTCAGAAATTACTCCCTTCATTTTCAGTAACCCTTAAAAAAAAAATAAAGAAATGAAATAAAACGTAATGTAGCCCGGGTACCCCAAAAAATACGGCGGACTTTGCTCTAAAGTAACTAACTTACAGACCCACTGAAACAACTCAAAACAACGCAAGACAGCTCCAGAGGAAAGGATACTATCCCTGATTTTCGACAACTTTTTCGCGGATTTCTTAGATTAACAGATGGGAATAACTTTCTCTTTGCCGTTACTCATTGAGATTTTGACCGCCTTGGATGCGAATTTGGGAATTCCCGGCTTTGATTTGCGTCATAACATCCATGTTGCATTGATCATTTGCCGGTAGTTCCTAAGTCAACAAGTCCAACGGGGCTTCAGAGCTCAAATTTATACGTATTTTTAGCATCTTTGAGAGTGGCAAAGAGAAGCTCCCCAGGAAAAGTGATGACTAACGTGAACAAAAATTCGTGGATATAGTATGGTGAATTTACGTTTCGAAATCTGAATATCACCACTACCGTCACGGTCATTGCTTAACGTTTAAACCAAAACATCAGTATGCCTTTTCTCTACACTATTCCCTGTACATTTCCCAAGGCGATTACAAGGAGAATTTATTTCACAATCTAGAACTTCTTTAGCTGGTGATCATTTTCTCTATTCTCATGACTTCATTGAGTGGTTCAGGAGATATATTGTAAGGAGAAATTTGATGCTAATCACTCTTCAGTGTCAGAGGGTGATTGATCAACTCTGAATTACGAATTCAAACTCACTTACAATCATTCTGTCAATATCTATCTCTGTGAAATTATTTTATTTAGTTTCACTTAATTCAGATCCTTTTTTATTTTCATACTTCGAAACGAGAATATTGTCAGTTTACACAGCTAAGAAAATTTTTTGAGACCACCAGTTTCTCTGCATGAATAATTAATTCAACAGCAAGATAATTGTTATCTGATCGACGCTCTTCCAATATTTTGTCGATCACAAAATGAATCCTTCCGAAGCAAAAGTATTTAGTTCCGGAATTTCCGGTTTCATATCTTCAAAAAAACGCAAGGATTTTGCTTATAGTCGGCTTGATCAAACAGACAATGATTCGGTGGAATTCTCGAACGTCCATTTTCAGAAAGATCACACTCCTCTCTGTACCAAGCTCTTCTTTGGTCTCCTGGCCTTGATGCTTTTATTTGCAACTGTGGCAACGACGGTTTTTCTAATGAACTGGAAACATTTTACGGTCGATCTTCGCTTGGAAGAAGGCAATGTACGAGTTTATAAATTCGACCAGCAAGTCAAGATCAATGGCAACGAAGCTACCACGACAAACATGTCTATTGTTGTTTCGATGCACGTCATTAACAGAACTGAAGACGATTGTTGGTTTGGAGTAGTTCTTAATTTACCAAAGGAATCAAAAACTTATTCTCACTCCAAAGACTTAACATTTCTTACCCACGTTTCAAACGCAGAACTTGTCGATTTTCAGGATGGCCCAGAAAACCATTTTAAAGTGTTCGGAAATCACCTTGACACCAACCAGGAGCTTTCGTTTTATGTTTATAATGTCTTAAACCAACTTCTTCCAATAATCAAAGTGAAGCTTTACGAATTTGTGCTCAGCAAACTGTCGAGCTCTTCCTCGAATTTTGCTGTGACAAAAAACGTATTTTTACCAGGCCGTGTTCATCTTAAACGCACCATCATGACAAAACGTGATACAGTGATTGTAACGACCCGGGCTGAACCAGGCGACTTTGAAAGCTTTTCAGCTGATGAGAAAGGAAGATCGACTTCATGGAGGCTTTCATACGACGAAACTACTGTTGTTGACAAGAGAACTGGGATGGTTGACAGAGGCGATATGTCTGTCTCTGCTTATCTCCCAATAAGCTCTGATTCTACATCGGGGCGCAAGCGTAAACCCATCCACGGATTAGAGGTGTCTTTTCGAAGCACTGTGGAATCGGTTGACGAATCTGAAGCGGAAGGGAAAAATTGGAGGGAAATTTTAGAGAACGAGAAAGATTTCAACCAGCTGCTAACTCTTCCCTCTGTTAAGGAATCGGTGTTATTGTATTTTGCACCGCCGAAGCGTAACCCCCGGAAAAAGCCCTCAGAGGTTATAAAAGAGCTGATAAAATTAAGCAGAAACTCTCACGGAAGATCAACAAAACTTCCTCCAATGATTAAGATTGAACAGTATAGTACTGTAAATGCTGATGAATCAGACGGAGCTGAAAACGATTACCAAAACGATGACGATGATGAAGAGTTTAGTGATAACAGTGTTGAAACTGATGATGATGATGATGATAGCGAAAATGATAACGATGACGATGAAAATGTGCCATACTGGCCTCAGCCGAATTACGCACCATATGGAATCGGTTACGAAGTCAAACGAAAGAGGTCTGTCACAGCAAGAAGATCGCAGATCATCAAAAAAGCTGCCAGGAAATCACGAACAGAACAGAAGACACCCGAATTAGATGAGATCTGGGACGAAATCACTTCCTCTGCCCCAGCTCCTATCCGAGAACCTCCACGTGTCATTCACTCATCAATCTTTGGGTTCGATTTCCTTGCAGAGATTGATTACAGCGTTAAAGCCAATGACGAAAATGACAGTGATAACGATGATGACAGTGATAATGACAACGACGAGGATTGGTCTGTAACCACTAGTTACCAGATCGCATTGAAACAGTACCGTATATCAGCCTTCAGTAAAGTTCACACACTGAGCGCGCTAAGAAGCAAACTGCCACGAGAAGGGCAACAGAAAACTAGTCGATGGACGGTTGATGCCGGTGACTTCGTAAGTCAAAAAACTAAGAGCAATTTCAATTGGCTTTTGAAAGTTATTCGGGATTGCGTGATTTTGTTCTCAACGCACGCTGTGATTGGTCCAGAGAAGTCACGCCATCCTCTCAAACAAAATGAGACTCGGTCACCCGCGCTTGCCTATAGAGAAATTTTCAATTGAGCGTTGAAAGTAATCCGGTATTGCGTTAGTTTTACTTAAGTTTGCTCAGTGATTGGCCCAGAAAAGTCACTGATTTTGCTTTCACTGCACGCTGTGATAGCGCTCTAGAAAAGTCACGCCATCCTTTCAACCAGATTCAGATGCTTTATAACGCGCCAAGCAGTTTGGTTGTTTTCGCTTTGATCTCTGATTGGCTAATAATAATTCAAATCTTTACTCTGATTAGTCGTTGTGATTGCTTTGGTTTAAGTTTTTCGACACTCAGTTGAAACTTGCTCTAAACCATTCAGACTTGCTTGTTTTTACTCCAAGTTTTAATAAGCTTTTGTGATATTTTCTCTTAATTTCTCTGATTAGCTTCCGGGGCTATGTTCTGTTTTAGGTTTTACGACAAAGATTTGCTAACAAAGGTTTCTTTAATGTTATGCCCATTTACTTTACCAGGTGATGTGCATTCCTCTGTTTTACCTTCAACGTCTGTGTGGAGCCATTCGACTCACCTTTGATATAACAGTTATTTACAGCCTACCGCGACTGTCCTTGTCATATCCAGTTGAACTGAGTGTCCACATTGGACAGACAGTCACCACCAACGCTACTTTGTCTGGATACGCCTCCACTTGGTTTCACAAGAGCGGATTTTACACCAAAGGTAAAATTCATTTTGGGCTTTGTAATACGGCGCGACTGCGTATTTTCCTCCACGCTTGCTTCAAAGTTTAGCTTATTTCTGAGAGTACCCACTTTACTCCTCCCTCCATGGTGATCCTAGGGGTAACAGAGAATTATTTTGACGAGGTTTGAGATGTATTTCACGAGATACGTAGTATGATACATCCGTCATTAAAAGGTCTGCATCCCAAGTACTGACTCGCGCATCTTCCGGAGCTAATCTCCAGAGGGGGGGAGGAATACTTACTTTACAAGTTAAATTGAATGTACCACTGGATAGGGTTGCATTTTCACGACTGGATTTTTCATAGTAGGGGGTTCTAAAAGACCAACGGCACCTACCCAACAAAATTTGATTTACTTCCCAGTATATCGTAAGTTCCCCTCACATTTACGGACCGGTCATTTGGGGATCAGAGGATTTGGTTCGTATCACAACAAAATTCAGCTGATTCCCTTATAACTCATTAAGCTCTGTAGCATTCTAATGATCTTCCCTCGCTGGCAGTCAATCTTATTTTACGTTTCTATCATCATAACTTGGTAGAGTCCAGTGCCTTTAAAATAATTCATGAGTTTTCTATTTTTTTTTTTTGTCAACAGGAACCGTTGCCATGGCAACGTTACCAGTGCGGTTGTCTTTCAAAGAGGACACCTCACCCGAATGGTGCGTCAATGGGAATCTTGAGCAAAAAATGGTTCGCATCGACACGGTGCCCCGGTCTTCTTGGAATTGTTCTCTGGATTTTTTTAAGTTCGCTGACACTTGCCTTGGGCTCTCAGCTAAAAACACATCTCTGCTGACCTTTGATCTTCATTACAGCTCAGCTGAAGGAACGATGTTTGACAACTGGCATTACCCAGTTACCTGTGTACATCGAAAGGGTTATTTTCCAAACTGAAATAGCACATCCGGATAAAACGTTGTAAAAATTATATAGGAGATAAATATACATTAAGGACTAAGCACTAGTTCCCTGGCCCTTTCAGCCAGCTATTTTCGCTTAGAGCCTGGGATCGACTTTTCAAATAGATGATGGCACCTAAGGGTTTCTTTTCGTGCTTCAGGTTACCAAATAGAGCAGGCGCTCTGATAAGTGGGCGTAATCTCGAGCCTCCGCTCGCGCGAGAGCGAGCAAGGATCAAGCTGATTCACTCTTTTCCTCCTTGAAGTACGTGCGTTTCGTGACGTATGAGCTTGTCTGTAGACAACAACGATAAAACGTCCGAATCAAACGTCCTCTTTTCCATTGTCCTTCATTAAGCGCAGAAAATAAAAGGATTAGACGGAGCTTCTTTCAACGCTTTGAAAATGTTGGGAAGGAAGTGTAAGTCATGCGTAAGTGTACTGGACCACACCCTTCAAACGAATGTCCGGTTCCGCTTTGATTTTAGGAATTGATTTCGGTGTCCTTTCCTGTAGTCTACGCTTGATTTGTCGGCTGTCCAGTCTTGTAAATGTTGTCCTTGACTACGAGCATCAAAAGTCAATATGGAAAATGGGTAAGGAGTTGTTGACAACGCAATTGTTTTTCTCTAAGAACGTTGTCTGATAAAGCGGAGAGCTAACGCCATCTAAACTCTCTATGATAGCCAATTTACATTATCAATTTATTTGGAAGCTTACCTCCATGTAATGAGATGCTTTGTTAACGCAAAAATGTGCAAAATTTTGGAAACATGTACACCTCTATCTTTGAGAATCTAATGAGCTGATTGGCTTACGCCAGAGAAATCGCTAGAGGATACAAAGTCGTCAAAACGATGACGATGTGGTCTCTGAAAACATATAAGAAAGTGAGAGCAGGAGACTATTGAGATATTTTGTTGAAGCGTTCTATGAAAGGTTTACGAATGCAGAATTGAGGTATTTTGTTATTACGTTCTCCAGAATTATTACATCCCATGGGTAGGATTTATTTGATCCTATTTTGAATTGATTTGCTGTCGGGAAAAATCAAACTCACGAATCAAATAACATAGATATAAATTGAGGTATCAATTTTATTCCTGAAACCTTGCTGATAACACAGAGTGACAGATAACGGATGAAGTAAGCAATCCAAATTGTCGTTACTAATTATCGTTCGGAATATCTCTGATAGGAATATGTATTTTTCTGTATTGCATTGGTTATAGATAACAGATCATGAAATACGAAAAATAGCAGTTGAACTTAAAATTTAGGTCACATCTCTCAATAAGAAAACGAAAATTTTTATTCATTTTCCAAAGATTAATTCGAAAGTATTCTTAGCTTACGAGAAACAAACAAGCTAAGCAGAGCGTGCCGAAACTGAAAAAGCTAAACATTTTTTCTATGATTTAGACGCAAAAATCTTACATTTTGTCTCGAGCGATTTTCTACAAGTTTTTCATGACTTTCTTGACTTTTTTACGCTACCCTAGTCTCCGCCCGCGCCCCGCCTCCATTTTTTCCCCTTTTAATATGTTGTTCTTTCTTGCTATTTAACACTTGGCCCTCCTTTATTAAAAAGGATTTCATATCCGCTTAATTGTTCTTTAGCAAATTTGTATGACGTCCTAACTGAAGTGAAGTGCAAAACATCACCAAGGAAGGAATTGTCACGTTTGAAAAAAATTGTCATGTCATGTCACGCTTGTATGATCACATTTCAACCCCAACTGAGATGTGCTCAAAGTCGCTGATTGAATCTTCCTTGGTGAACAGTTAACTGTCACTTCTTATGCTGTATTGGAAGAAACAGGATTCACTTCAAATGATAAAGTAGACCTTTCTTTAACATCTTGTCGAAAGCGTTACGTGGTCGTTTAACTGGAGGTTACGTAAACCGGCACGAAAACTGTGGGCGCACAATTTTGCAACTGAAAACCAGGTGACCTAGTTTAGCGAATTCAGTCTGGTTTTTGCGTGTTGAACTCGTTGGTTAGAACAGCCTGTGCTAAGGTTTAAGGCTCTAATCGAACTTTGTTTTGTGTAGGTTGCATCTTTTGTTTTACATATACCTAATTTATGATTTGTAATAATCTGCTAAACCTACTTGCTTCCGAGTAACTTTCATACGAATTTCTAGTAAATTACACTGCCGTGTACACTGTTCTTTCACCTAATTTAAATGTTCTTGTGACCAGTTATGACTAAAAGTCGTAAAACTAATTAGATTCTAGATATTGTGCTGGCATTTCCTTAATTAAAAATATTATTTTGCACCAATTGTCATTTTAATTATCGCTGCTGGCAATTCAACGAAAACAAAACACAGTTGTCTCACAAAATGAGTTGACAAATATCTCAGAAGTATGATCGCTGATTTAAGTAACGTAAAAATGCACATGCATATGATGATCTGCATAAGATTGTCAGTTACGATTGTCAGTTACAGATACTTTCTTTGTTGTTTTTTTCGTTAGAAACAGTTGACATGTTTACACAGAGAGTAATCAGCAGAGTTGAAGACTTTTGTGAAATAGGATCTTGATTCGCGAAAACGTGCCTTGTAAGTGTTTGAAATAATGGGAGAAGAAACCACTACCGACGGAAGTTTACAGATACATCAAAGGTTCGAAAACGAAGGCGATATAGAAAGCCCGACATGCGGATTAGTCTCCTGGAGACCAAGCTTTCTTCAGCGTTTTGCCAAGGCGAAATGGTTTCTGCTGTTCCAATGTTGGTTCGTCCTAGCACAAGGCATGATCGTTTCAGGGTTTCAGGGAGTTGTAATTTCCTCACTGGAGAGACGTTTCTCGTTAAAGACAAACGAAATTGGAGTTATCGTCAGTTGTTACGACATTTCTGCCGCAATCATGGCCATCTTAGTGAGTTACTACGGCCATCACCATAAACCGAAGTGGCTCGGCATTGGAGCATTCATTTTAGGAATTGGATGCTTCTTATTCGCTCTCCCACATGTTCTCGTTGGCCGATACGAGCCAGGTTCTAGTGCGACAAATCTTTGTTCTACGGATTCCCTTCCGTCAAACTTGATCTGTAGAAGTTCAGTCTGGTATCACATATTTGTCTTTGTGCTCGCGGAGTTTTTTATCGGAATCGGAGCTACCCCCGTGTATATTTTGGGGACTGCATTCATCGATGAGAATGTCCGCCGCACCACGTCGGGATTGTTTCTTGGAATTATGTACGCTGTGGCAACGTTTGGTCCTGCTGTGGGGTTTCTGCTTGGAGGAGAATTTCTCAGAATATATGTTGATATCAAGCAGGTATTATGGTAATGATGTCTTCTTTTAGAGTTTGGATCAGAATTTCTTTATAGATAAGTGACATTTACCCCAAGGGAAGGTACCTAGCAAAACCAAATAGAGTACTCCTTCAAAATTTCATAGGCAGGTGCAGCATGCTCAATGAATTCTGGACCTTATTCCTGTCAAAAGATCTGTAAATTTCCTTAGACAATTCAGATTTGATTATGGAGTAATCTGGATGATCTACAAATTAAGTGAGCTCTGAGTAGTTGTAGGGTGGGTCAGTGGGCAAAACACCTCCTTCTCCCAAGAACATTTTTTTGTCTTGTTTGCAGACAAGTGAAACTTAAATGTAGGCTGGCTGTATGCTGGCTTCAGGCTGGAACAACACAGGCAATCTGTTACCAAAATAGAGCTCTCTATAAAGAGTGTTAATGGTCATGCAAGTTTATATCTATGATCAGAACATAGGATTATGAAAAAGTTGATAATTGAAATATTGTATCACTTACAATAAACACTTTGATCCTTAACAGTGACTAGCATCTAATTTCTCCTTACCATATCACCCTGGAATCAAACAATAAGGTCATGAGAATAAAGGAAATGATCACCTATTAAAGAGGCTCTTGACTGTTAAACAAATTCTCTTTTTCTTCACCTTAGGGGATATATAGAGAACAGTGAGGAGAATATATATACTGATGTGAGGATGTCAAGGGTTAATGCTGTTCATGTTTCTCAAATTTCAGCCAGAGGGTGTAAGTCTTACACCTGAGGATTCAAACTTTATTGGGGCATGGTGGATGGGGTACATCCTTGGTGGCTCACTGTCCATCATGGTCAGTCTTCCTTTGCTTGCATTTCCAAGAGAGCTTCCAGGAACACCACAAATCCGGGCTGAAAAACAGAGATTTTCAGACACTGTGGAGGATGACAACATGCCACATACACTGAAGCAGCTACTTCCCTCACTTAAGTCACTTCTTACAAACAAGCCTTTTGTATTTCTTTCTCTTGCCTCAGCATTTGAGGGATTTGCTGTGGGTGGTTTTTCTACATTTTTACCCAAATTTGTTGAGGCACAGTTTCGTATCTCAGCTGGCCTGGCAAGCACATATACTGGCCTAGTGGTGGTACCAGGAGGGTGTGGAGGCATGCTCTTTGGAGGTTATCTTGTAAAAAGAATGAAATGGACTTGTGACAAGACTATTAGAGCTTGTTTTGTTATTGCCTGCTTAGCGACACTCTGGGCAGCAGGACTGTTCTTTGGGTGTCCCAACAGAGTATTTGTGGGTGTAACAGATCCATACATTAACAGGTATTGATAACCTGGCATTTGTCTGCTCTTAAGTGTCTTTCTCTTCTTATCATGGTGTACTCTCTTGTTTCAAACACTAAGAGATCGCTGTGCAGGTTTGAGATTAACTCCCCCTGTAGAAAGTGTGTGTGGGTCTGTCCACTAGTAGGCTATTGGGAAAAAATTGTATTTTCTTTTATGCTTTAACCCTTTAACCTCTAAGAGTGACTAGCATCTAATTTCTCCATACAATATCACCACTGAATCTCACATTAATGTCACGAGAATAACTAATTAAAAGGAACTCTTGATTGTTAGACAAATTCTCCTTGTCAGTACATTAGTAAATGTACAGAGAACAGTAGGGAGAGTATAAATATTGATGTTAGGGTGTAAAGGGTTAATAAGCTCCCTCTACCAAATAGGAGCAGATAATCGAGGCTAAACTGTATATGGTTTTGCGTGAAATGTGTTTTAAACATTTCCTTATGTATCAGTCCTAGGTCATCACTTGTCAATATTACTTCTTCCTGTAATGCAGCATGTAACTGTGACGTTAAGTACTTTTCACCTGTTTGTTCCAAACAAGATCAGCGAACATTTTACTCTCCTTGTTACGCTGGCTGTAAGGCAGATGACAGATTAGGTGACAAAGTAAGTGTTGTACAGGGATTTCTTTGATTAACCTTTAAACCTCCAAGAGTGATTAGCAATTAATTTCTCCTCTTAGAATCACCCCTAAAACAAACCTTGAGGTCATGAGAATAGAGGAAATGATCACCAACTAAAGAAGCTCTTGATTGTTAAACAAATTCTCCTTGTCGGTACCATAGGAAATGTATAGAGAACAGTAAGGAGAAAATGTATTCTGATGTTAGGGTGTAAAGGGTTAATCAATGAAGTAGCAGGAGAATACATACCTTATACTGACTGAGTTTGAAGTCTGTGCTGTAAGCTATGGAGTCAATGTAGTTTTTGTGGCTCAGACTTCATGAGGACCATTTATCCGAGCAGGATAAAAAGAGATTTTGAAACTTATGATACAGACCACGAAAATGAGGTTATTGAGATATTTGTTTTAACTCTGGGTTCAATTAGAGGAGGTAGATTTCAGTTCAAACAAACTGTGTTATGAAATGAGGGCACACTAAATTGACCAATCATAGTGCACATACTAACTGAGAGATAACAGAAATGTACAGCAATGACCTGAATGTATTTCAGCCAGTGAAAACTTCACAGTAACAGGATAATTTTCCAATTGCAGTTTGCTAAGAAACTCTCCCATTTTACAAGCTGTGACAAGATAGTGACAAAAACTAATTGCAATGAAATTTGATGAATAATAATTTTTTTTTTTTTTTTTTTACATGCAGGGTTATCAGAACTGTAGCTGTTTTGTGACGCAATCAAATGAGGGAATTGAAGGCAGTGGATGTCAACCAGAATGCAATAACCTTGCTCCCTTCCTTTTCTGCCTTTTTGGTCTCATGGTTTTTACATTTTCAAACAACATCCCAGCAACTACAGCAACTCTCAGGTACAATTTGTGATTTTTAAAAAAATAGATTGTAGTTAGACAGTTGAGGAAGGGAGGGGGGTGGGGGGGTCTCCTCTTGGGGTACAGGCTGAGATGTTTATTTCTAGTAAAACAATTTCTTAAGATTCTCATGGTGGAAATGCAAATGCACTTCTTGAGCTCTGTCAGTAGAAGTCATTCAATCAGTCATTCAGTCAGTCAGTCAATCAGTCATTCAGTCATTCAGTCAATCAGTCAATCAGTCAATCAGTCAATCAGTTATTCAGTCATTCAGTCAATCAGTCATTCAGTCAATCAGTCAATCAGTCAATCAGTCAATCAGTCATTCAGTCAATCAGTCAATCAGTCATTCAGTCAGTCAATCAGTCAATCAGTCATTCAGTCAATCAGTCATTCAGTCAATCAGTCAATCAGTCAATCAGTCAATCAGTCATTCAGTCAATCAGTCAATCAGTCATTCAGTCATTCAGTCAATCAGTCAATCAGTCAATCAGTCATTCAGTCAATCAATCAATCAGTCAATCAGTCAATCAGTCATTCAGTCAATCAGTCAATCAGTCAATCAGTCATTCAGTCAATCAGTCAGTCAGTCAGTCAATCAGTCAATCAGTCAATCAGTCAATCAGTCAGTCAGTCAGTCAGTCATTCAGTCAATCAGTCGATCAGTCAATCAATCAATCGCTCAATCATTTACTATATTTAAACATATTTGACAGTTTGCAGCCTTTCCAAACATCTAGGCAGTTTGGAAAGACACAAAACTCTCAAGCAAAAATTTATTTTTCAAATTGCCACTTTTAATCCCACAGTATCATCAAACACTTTCATTTCACTAATTTATTTTTGTGTTTCAACTCAGTCAGTTAGTCAATAATTTGACCATTCAGAATGCACTGTGTTCTCTGAGACAGAAAATAAGAAGAATGCAAGAATTTTTCAAATTTCTTCAATTAGCATAAGTTTCAAAAATGATTTTGATTAGGTGTAAACTTTAATTTTGTTGCATTATTGAAACTAAATTATGAAATGGATAAAGATCCATTCTCTTTATGTTGTTTGTCATAAATGAGTTATGATTTTAAGATATATTTTCCTTGCCCTTAGATGTGTTTCAGAAAGCCAGGGATCATTTGCTCTGGGCATAAACCAGCTTATTGTCCGTATTTTGGCCTTTATTCCTGCCCCAATTGTGTTTGGATATGTGATTGATGCTGCATGTAAACTGCATCAAGAGGACCCTTGTGATCTTGGGGCTAAGAGGAACTGTTTGGAATATGACACTGATTTGTTCAGGTTGGTTTACACCAGAATACAGTCCAACTTACCCCACCCTAGCTCTCCCCTTCCCCCCCCCTTTCTTGTCAGAATGATGGGTTTTCATAATGACAGCTCAATTTTTTTTCCTCAATAAAACCTTCAAAGTTTAGATTCTTCAGACATTTTCCTCAAAGTCATTGGCAAAAGGATCAATCCTTCAGATTTAATCTTTTTTAAGGGAGAATTCAGATTCCTGCAATCTTTTTTTCGGAGGGGGCCAGAAGGGAATTGGATTGCTAAAAAATGAAACATTTAGTATAAAGAAAGCAAAGTCTCCTATGAAAGATGCATGGAAAGGGAAACCATTTTGTTCAAATTTATATAGGAGGATTGGGGTATGGAATCTGGGCAGAACATAAAAAAGGGCTACTTCTCTTTTCTCTCCATCTTAGTATCAATTTTTATTTAGTCAACCCTTTAACTTCCATGAGTGATCAACACAGAATTTCTCCTCACAATATCAGTACAACATCAAACAGACAAGTGATGAGAATAAAGAAAATATCAATGAGGGATTATCATTTGATCTAGTACTAAATTCTCAGAACTGACATCATAAGAATTGTATGGAAGACAGTAGGAAGCATTACTAATGAGATCTTGGAAGCAGAAGGGTTAAAATCATTTTCTTAAGTCACTCTTAAATTGTGTGCAGGTAACTGACAAGATGGAAAATGCACATTGCCTCTCATTCACAACTGAAAGAATATTCCATTTCTTGCTAGGTATCTGATGTTAGCTGTTGGTGGTGGTTTCAAGCTTTTATCTGCAGTAGCTTTCTACTTTGCATGGAAATTTTACAAACTGCCATCCCAGAGTCAGTCGAATGAGGGTTTGAATCGAGAGTCTGCTTCATCACAAATAACAATCGTGGATGGACACACCAAAAAAATGCCTGAAACAGAGTTGATTCCTGTTGCACAGTTTATTACAGTTTCAGATTCTGGGGAAGAAAAACCACTTCCTAGCAAGGATTTTGCAAGGACAACCAATGTTTAGATACAATAAACAGGTGACTCCCTTAAATCAGAATTGAAAAATATCATATGCTTCCTGGTTACACAATTGTTGAGTCACCTAAAAGTATTATACTCCATACACAGTTATTGAATCACTTGAAGGGCACAAAATCTTTTGCTCTGAAAATTCAACATTTTATATTATAAAATAATTCAAATAGTACGTGCGCTCTGATTGGCCATAAAACCATTTTACTTGAGCATATGTAAACATGGTTTTCATTCCTCTTTCATTAGTTATTTTATAAAAGAAATGTAAAATGGTTTCCGTGTTTACATAGCCTGATGTAAACACTTGGGAGGTTGGGAGAACACTCGATAAGCTGGAAACCACTCTGCTTCGTGTCATGGTTTCTTATGCTTATCTCGTGTTCTCCCAACCTCCTGCATGTTTACATCAGGCTATGTAAACACGGAAACCATTTTACATTTCTTCATTTTCATTTCAGTATAAATCGCACAGTTGAATAGTGCTTTTTGCATTTGCTGATTGGTTAATTTGGAAGTGAATAGCAAGCACTATTCACTTCTGAGCTGTCAATAAGACAAAATCATGCATCAGGAGTTTGATTGTAACCATATAATTTAGGTATATTGAAAGAAGTAATTAAAACTAATTTTTTGGTTTCTTTGTGATATACTAAGACAGTTATTCACCTAAGTGGGGCTGAGTAATGGTGGATATTTATTGTGGGTCGGTAATGATTGTCAATTATTTAGCAGCTGCTGTAGATATAATTTTGATGATGATCTGTAATTGTACAATTACAGCTTACAGTTGACATCAAAATTACATGGAAGGAACAAAACGTATGACATCAGCTGGGCATCTGAACTCTGACTAATATATTATAGGCAACAAACTACATGTACCCCTGTGGGGTATGGCACTGAAACATTTTCCTACCTTTGAGGAGAATTTTTAAAACTTACTTGACTGTACAGTTTGATCTTCAATAAAAAAATTGTACCTAACCCGATTCTTCATCCAATGTAATATGAGCATATTAATATAATAATTATGTTAGTATTAACTTTATCAATAATGTTATCATTGTTTGAACTCATCATCTCTTATTAATAAAATTGATTCACTTAACTTCGCCTCTATTCACTCTGAATTCAAGTGCAAGTTTTTTCAATCATTTTCCAAAGTAAATGTCTGTCCTTTCCTTCATTCTAAGTTTGATAGTTATTTGATACTTTTTGACTTTCATCCAAATTATTTTTCAAGTCATGCCTAATTTAACTTATTTGTCAAATTGTGAAAAAGTTACTAAGATATGTTTCTCAACTCCAGTTTAATCATGTTGACTAATTAAGATAAGTTTCAAAATTAATGTAAAATTCATTCTCAAAAGTAGGAAGACAATCAGTGTTCACAATAGCAAGTGAAAATTGGCTGCAACTTATGCAAGATGCAAACTCAACAAACACAAGCTGGTATTCCACAGCAATGAACCTGTCTCTCTCTAACTTGAAATGTTTCATCCTTGTCAAACATATCAAGCACTTAACCTAGGTTGGCTTATTGAAAAAGGAACTATCAATTGTATGATTGGCAAGATAGACACATTTAGATGATGTCACTATTAATGGTAACAATGAATTTGCTCCTTAACTACTTAAAGAAAATAGATTCCTCATTGTTGTGGGTCTTGCAGGAGATGTCTAAGAACATTAGTGATACACTTAGCTGCATCTAGCACATTACTTCTTTGTTCTCACCACATTTTGACATCATCTGTGATATATTACTAAACAGATGCATGGCATCATAGAATCTATCTGTCAAATAGGTCACAAATAGCTTCAAATTGTTATTAACCCTTCCAACTCCCAGAAGTGATTGACATGTCTCTCTTGACAACTTCTCCCCATATTAGGGACCTTAAGCAGTCAGGACGGCAACGCCAAGGAAAACTTCGATTAAAAAATAAATCTCTGCCTTAAATTAGAATTTCAAAAATGGCTGCATTTGTTTACCGTCTCATACAGCACCACACCTCAACTTCAGCATACCGTATAAAAGAAGCGTTGAGTTCCAAATGGAAATTAAAATAATTTGCCGTCGAGGTTTCGGTTCGTAGACGACGCAAATTGTGTTGATTTCACGTTGTTGTTTTGCATAGGACGGCTAAGAAATGTACAAAGTTTTAAAACGCACGTGCTGAGCTATTGTTCTGCCAATTAGATCTTTTGTTTTTCCACGTCCACGTTGCAGTCGCCGTCGTGGTTTGTTTAAGGTCCCTGGTATCCATACATTATCTCACCAACGGGTTATGAGAATACTCTAACTTGTCAGGCAAGGTTGTCCTCATGATCTAACACCAAATTCTCATACCTAATTTATAATGATACATGTAGTAGTGAGAGGGGAGAATTAGCAACCAGATCTTGAGATTTAAAGGATTAATCACTATGCCACAGGGATACCAGCATCACTCACAAAATTAGATAAGAGAAAGAACAACAAAACAAAGCTCAACATTTAATGATGTTTACTAACCTTTACATAACAATTACATTAAAGAAACTGTACCCACGCTCTACCAGAACTATTCTACACAGTAATAAATTAGTTTTAACCCTTGAACTCCCAGGATATGAAAACAATTACAACCACACAATGACACTACAGTTCTTTCTACAGCTATTTATTAAGAATACTTGTATATCCTTTCACAACAATTTTCTTACTTCTCATTACCTGTTTCATCTACAGGGCTTTTAAGTTGTAGAGAGAAATTCTATTCAAATTATTTCAAGGAGTAAAAGGGTGAATGGGTTGGCTTTCTCTCAGTTGGCAATAAGCCAGGCAGGAATAAAGGTACAAAGCAATCTTAGCTCCAATTATGGAATGATTACTCATTAATGGAAATTAGTGAAACAACTGATACTAAAAATGGCTGCTCTTGTAATAAATAATAAATTTTTTAGACACACCTTTGGAGCCTAGGTAAGCAATGCTAGGATTGCCAATTAGACTTCACTTCAGTTAAGAAGCAAAAACAAGGACAACTGTAATATTTGTGGTACTCTGGCACACAAATATCACGCAATACCCTTGTTTCCCATAAAACAAACTTTAACAAACATCTCCCTTTCAAACAATATCCCATTAAATAACAATATTTTGGTTTGATTTTTTTTTTATAAATTATGGGCTTAAAACTTTGATTTATCTTATGCATGTAGCTTCACCATATATCTGAACAATCTAAATTGCACACAATAAAACACACTGCTTCATTCCTGGAGTTTGTGATCTCTGTAAGATTACTCTGCAAAGTTCTCAGATAGTGAGTAATTAAGGAGTGTAAGAAAACCACAACGGCGACAGAAACAAGATTGTGGCCAAACAAAAGATCTAATGAGCAAACCAATGGCAAAACACATGTGTTCAAAAACTTTGTACATTTCTTGGCCCTCCCATACAGAACTAAAATGTGAAATTGCCAACTTTCACACCATCTTGGCAAGGAAACCTTGACAGCAATTTCATCATGTTTTCACTTTGAACTCAACACAACATTCACTCGTTATACTGAAGGGAAGATGAGGTACTGTCAGAAACACTGAATGCATTGAGCTGTTGGCAAAAATCTTAGAGGAAAATAAATTACTTTTTTGGCAACATTTTAACCACATATCGCCATTGTGATATCTTAAACTCCTTAATATTGAGTATAAGGGGGCCCTAACCACTATCTCTTTGTTCAGATTATACACATACCCATTCAAGTTATTAATTAGTCAACCCTTTCAAAACCCCCCAGAGTGATAAGCATCTAATTTCTTCCAACAGTATCACCCCTGGATCAAACAGAATTAAGGTTGGGAGAAAAAAAGGAAATGATCACAAACTCAAGAAGCTCTTGATTGTTAGACAAATTCTCCTTCAAGTGCCATGGAAAATGTGTAGAGAAAAGTAAGGAGAATTTACATACTGATGTTGGGATGCATCAGAGATCTACTAATTCTCCAGCTATTGCCCATAACTCTTAAACAAAATTTTGATGTCATATTCGGACTTAGGGGATATTCCCCCATTACTTTATACTACTCTCCTGTAACCATACTTCCCTTTAAAAACCCTCTCCATTGTACCTAATCTAAATAAAAAATTCATGTAGTGCTAATCACGAGGTCAATACAGCTCTGTCTCTTTAGCACCAATTCATCTTCATTTCAAACTTTTCTTTTATCTCCAAAATACAAAAACGACACCAAATACACATACTCTCAGAATAAATTAACTGGTTGCCAATAATGTGTTTTCAAGATAAAGTTGTCACCATTTAAATAAAGGGCTTTACATAGTGATCAAAAAATTCTACAATCCAACCCTTTTGGAAATACACTAAAACACAGGTTGTCTTGGACTTTGCCCAATATGGAAAATACATGCAAGAAAAGTTACTTTCTAGGCAGGAAAGCAACCTACTTGTCACCATTGGAAAGTCTTCTTTTTTCATTACTCGAGTGTCTTTCATTTGTGTGACAAATACTCTTTTGACTTTTGTCCTAAGCAAGGGCATGTGCCCGGGATGTAGACTACAATATCAGAAAAAAAAATGATGAATTTTCATGAGGGACTCAGATTACCCTCTAATTTTTTTTTCAGAAGCATCTCCCTAACCTGGAATCTTGAATCCTCAAATCTGATTGGCTAATTACATGCTTGTTACTGGTCCACCCTTTTACAATATGGACCATGATCTGTAATTATTTCCATAACATTTAAGGCAAAGCAGAAAAAGAAAACTAACAGAAAAAATAAACAAGTTATTTACCACTCTAGCTCTAGTGCCAATTAGAAAGGCAAAATATGCCTTGCACAGTTTGTCCATGCAATCAGCAAGCTTGTAACATTTTACCTAAGAATCATTGTTTTAAGATAGGTCTAAAACAGCAAAAGTTAGTCTATCAAACTAACTAGCAAAAATTACCATTACCATTGTGCCTTACGTTGTAGCACTATGTGGCAAGGCAAAACCAATGAATACCCCAAAGATCATGTATCAACCCTCTTTATCAAGGAAAAGATTAATTATTTAATATATAAATGAAACAACATTACCAACTTCTTTATGTCTATCAATTGCAAGCATATGTAAAACCCAGAGGGTGACCAGTTCTTTCATTCTGTTGTGCACAAATTTGGTGAATCCATGAATATCAAAAAAAAATATTCTTACTTATTTTTAATCTAAAGTGAGCACACTAAAATCTACCTGATAATTTACTAGGATCAAACAATCCTTTGCCATGGGTCATTTGTACTATCCATCATTAACTTTCCTGAAACTTCAGCCAAATGTTTAATCTTTCTTTACTTGGTGTTCTCTTGGTGTTCTCTTGGTTCATCACTTGTGTTGATGTCCTTAGTGGCTGGTGGTTGGGTTTTGATACTTCCTACGAAAGCGAGTTGATGAAGAAACCCTGCATTACTCCATAACAATATTAATTTACAAAGTTACAGTTGTTGCTGAGCACCAGCTGCCAGCAAAGTTTGCCAGATGAAAAGGGGCAATCTTCGGCTATATCTTTTGGCTGGCAATTGCTTAGCACAACACAGGCATCTCTGAGGTTACACACTCATAATCCTTACAATATCAAATTCTACCTTTGAGCTGCCTCACTTGAAATTTCAGGTGACAGCCTAATTTGCTGGCTACAAGCTTGCACAGCCAGAAGAAATCAGAAGAATTAAAGTAGAACAAATGCACCCAAGCCAAACCTTGTAACTGTAGCAGTGGTTTTAAAGCATTACTCGCAGCTTCTTCCCGTGAAACTTCAACAGTTTTTCCTGATCCATAGCAAGTGAGGGGAGGAATAGATGACACATTGATAACAGTGAGAAATTCTCTTTCCTAGAGAGAAAAAATGATTACATTAGCTTGAAAGCCAGAGGCTCAGTCGTGCTAGAGCTTAGTAACACTTTCAGTGGCAAGAAGGAACTGAGCACATGATTCCTCCTTTCCTCCACACAAAGTGGGGAGGAGGGAGGGCAATGGCCAAGAATATAAGGAACAAGGGAAGAAACATGTCATCACTAATGTTTAAAAAGAAGGTGCTAACCTTGGGGTAATCGGTAAATTGTACTCGAAGTCCTTCAACGTCAGCCAAATGTAACAGCTTCTGAACAGGTGTAAGAGGTTTTCCTGGTGTAGTCTTTACCACGGGCGCTCCAGGAGCCCGATTTAGTCCACCTTGAACAGTAGGCTCCTGATAAGCAAAAATAGTGCACTAAACATCAGAAGCACAGAGTTAGACAAGAATTGCTGGTTGGGCAATCTAATTGTCGAGTAAAACTGTTATCAATTATATATCATACGGTAAGCTGAATTATATGTGCCCTTCTGAATGGTTCTTACTCATGGTGCATCGGAGGAAAGATGCTCAGATGACCTCACCATTATACCATTTCACTTTTTATCGTATAAAACAAATATGTTCAATGTTGCCATGAGTCTTCACAGAAATAGATTACAGAAGATGCCAAAAAGTGTTAGATCATCAGTAACACACTCCACAGCTCTTTAAGTGTCACTTTTTTCTTCTCGTCACCTTTTGACATAATCTATGTATGATCTATTACTAATTATATAATAAGCTCAGTTATACATGCATTCTGATTGGTTCTCACTTATGATCTATCAGAGGATAGACGTATAGATGACATCATCATTAAAACCTTTTTTAATTCTTTATTACATACAACAAATAGATTCCAAGTTGCCGTGTGTCTGTTCAGTAATAGATCACAGAGAACATCAAAATGTGGTAAGAACATCAGCGACACACTCAGCTGTGCCTCATGTGCCACTTTTTTGTTCTTACCACATTTTGACATCATCTGTGATCTATTACTGAACAGCTGCACGGCAACTTGGAATCTATTTGTTAAATAGATCCCAGGCAATACAGAATTTATTTATTTGAGAGATAGGAAATAACATTTCTTGTCCATACCTGTGGTTCCTGCTTGACTTGAGCGATGGGTGCAACAACAGAGTTCATCATATCTGATCGAGTTTGCTTGGCTAGCTCTGGAACCATTGGGAGTAGTCCAGGCTTCAGCTGTCGACCGAGTATGGTGGGTGGTTCTGTGTTTGTTCCATTAGCATTTACAGAAGCCTTCTGGTCTGTGTCACTCCTTTCTGTTTTCACAGCCTTATCTCCCTAAAAAAGATACAAGGAGTCTCATGTCTCACATCAGACATGCACCGATGCAAAAAGCCATTAACCCTTAAGAGTGACTGTTTTCTAATTTCTCCTCACTGGATCATCCCTTAAATCAAATATTTAGGTCGTGAGAATAAAGGAAATGATCATCAATTTAAGAAGCTCTGGATTGACAAACAAATTCTCTTTGTCATAACTATAGGGAATCTAAAGAGAACAGTATGGAGAATATAGATACTAATGTAAGAAAGTAAATGGTTAAGAACTTTAATGATCTCAAGAATAAGATACTAAACTTCTCAGTTTTTTTCCCAGTTAGTGCTCAAACACTTGCAATCATTTATCTGATTAACCCTTTGACTCCAAAGATCTGATTACTAATTCTCTCATCTAGCTATGAGGTATTTCCTTGTAAATTAGTTGCAAGAATTTAGTGTTAGATCAAGATAACAATTTCTACCTGATAAGGTTGAGTATCCTCATTAACGATTTAGTGGATAATGTGTAAATTTCATGGGGAGAAGTTGCATGTTAATCCCCTCTAGAAGTAACCCTCACACTCTCAAGATCTCATCAGTAATTCTCCTTACTGTCTTCAATACAATTCTTATCAAGTTGGTTTGGAGAATTTGGTATTGGATGAACTGATTGTCCCATAATTTATGTTTTCTTTATTCCCATAACTTGTCTGCTTGATATTATATTGATATTGTAAGGAGATATTCTGTCTTGGTCACTGACAGGAGTGAAAGGGTCAAAGATTGTCTCAATTACATACCTGAGTACTTGCAGCAGTTGATTGTCCTTCAGGAGAGCGAAATCCAATCAGTTGTAACATGGCTTCAGCAGCCTTTTTCTTAGCTTCCTTCTTGTTTGAACCACATCCAGTAGCCTTGTGTTGACTGACAGTCACCTGTATTTTAAATTCCCTTTCGTTTCCCTTTGCCTTCTCGTAAAGAAGTTCATAGTCTGGTGGCTGATCATGTCTTCGCTGAAGAATCTGCCCCAGAATACTGACTGGGTTCAAGGAAGGATCTATCTCACCTTTTGGTTTTTCATGATAGGAGATGCGAGGCCCGCGGCGAGCAAAGCGACCAGCTTTCTTGTAGCTTGTTTCATCTTTGGGTAGTTCAGGTAGCTTTTGCAGTTCTTCCAGCATTTTCCGAGCAGCCTCTTGTTTTGCATCCTTTTTCTTGCATCCCTCTCCCAATGTTGTGAAGTCACCCACAGTGGCACTCACCACAAAACGCTTCATGTGGGGAGGGCCACTGCTCTTTACATCTTCAAATCCTACTTGCAGTTTCCGTTTAGAGGCTATCTCATACACCTGACTGATCTCAGATTTCACTTCAGTGATACTCTGCCTGGGAGAACTCTCCAATTGGTCAACTTTGCTTTCACCATTTTGATTAGCTGTTTTTGATTCTTCAGGAGTGGAAGAGGTGGTAATCCTATCCATAACAGTAGCCATCTCATCTCGCAGCATCTTGATTGCTTGAGATGCCGCATTTTGACGAGCTTTCTGCTTGTCACGTCCTTCACCATAGAATTCCTGGTCTCCTACCATCAGCTGGACACAAAAGATTCTGGGTACACGGGGTGGTGGAGGCCGGGAATGAAACCCATTTTGGACATATGGACGATAGTGATTCCCTTGACTTGGGTGTGCAATGCTGTAAGAGGGACGGGGTCGAGGCATGTAGTGATGCAAGCCAGTGTGATGATGTTGCATCTGGAGGTTAGGATAGCCCATGCTGATTGGTTGATAAGGGGACAGTATCTTGGGCTGCAGGTCATGGTACTGAATCAGCTTCCCAAGCTTCATCCCCATCACGTTCAGTTCTACTGTCGGAGTGATGTTGAACTGTTGGATGTTTGGTTTCTCGATCTCTGGCTTTGTTAACCCACAATTCTCCAAACCTGCTGTGGCTGCTGCATGTCTGGCGCTTCGAATACTTGTAGCTTTGCCTTGCCATGTTCCCACGTCGCCCAGGGTCAGCTGTACAGTAAACGTTCGTTGGTGAGCTGGTCCGGTTTCCTCGATGACTTTGTATTCGGGGTTTAGTTTGTTGGCTTTGGCAAGTTCGTTCATCAAGCTTACAGGCGTTTTCTGAGCCATTGATGAAATCGCTAGACTTGTGAAGTTGGAATATTAAAGAAAGTGATTAAAAAGGCGTAGAGAAAAGAGTGATTCTTCGTGGAAAGTTATCGATCGAATAATAAATAAGTTGGAAATATGGCCGTCGACTTCCACGTAACGGGCTAGAGGATACGATATGTTGATTCGAAATTACCACTAACTTCCACTAGGAAATTGGCGGTAATAACAGAAGAAGGGAGAAAAGAACGGAAAGGTTATGAAGTCGACGAGAATCAGTGAGGAGACCCCACACTTTTGAAGAAATTTGTTTTCTTTCAAAAGTGGACTAAAACGCCAAACATGAGGTCTGCTCGCCTTAACGTCACTCGAAAGAAGCGGTATCCCAGAAGCCTTTGTGGCAGAAAGGGAAACGACAAATGCTTTGTCAGGGGGAGGGTAAGTAATCTGCTTTCCGGCGTGAAACTTCCGTCACTCCAAAGATTTTCAGTGAAGATGAACGAGTCCTGTTGCTTTAGTTATTGAAATAATTTTTAATTTCATTCATACCATTCAACAAACTCAGACAATCTCTTCTGGAAAAGCCTGTTCCAAGTTTCAATGAATTAATACAAATAAATATATAGTATACAGTTCAAATGAAGAATGATATCTTGTCGGACCTTAAGCTAAGACAAGACTAGCAAGTTTCACTTAACCTTTAACATGCACATGCATATTCTCCATTCTTTTTTCTCTCTCTCTCACTATATATATACATATACATATATTCCTGAGGTGCTGACTAAGAGAATTTATTTGACAATCAAGAGTAATTGTGGCTGCTGCCCAACTGTTGGCCAACTACTAGCTGACAATCAGCCAACAGTCCACCAGTGATGGTTGGCTAACTAAATGAAAGAGAAATCAAGTAGAGATTGTTTACAAGAGTAGGGCAAGTTTTCCAAGCCAATCAGAGAGGAATTTGAAGCAAAACAAAACAGTTCAGGATTGTTTGCAACTCTTAATTGAAAATTGCTTCCACGTCAAGTAGTAAACATATTAGACATTGAATCTTGTACTTGTTTAAATTCCAAAATCTACTCCAAGTTTTTCAGTCATGAGTTAAAGAAAGCCATCATTTAGCATATCATCATTTTTTATGGATATAACCACTGTACAATGAACACGAAATACTAATAATGCTTCCAGTAACGTTAGTATTGTTGGCCCTTTGTGGAAGGATTAACTTTTGTTAGTACTTAATGTTATTGAATTTATAATAACTGTACTTTAGAAGCATAAAGAACATGGCAATCATGTAACATATCTAAGCTAATGATTATTTACTGTACCTCATAACATGTGTCAATGCTTTGATTGTTGTTAATAACATTGGCCCTTGATTGGGGATAAATTATTTGTTTGTAATCATCATCATTGAATTTACAATAAATGTTCTTTGTGAACACGACAAACATGACACCATGAATAGCAAAAGAAAAAAATGTCAAACTTTGGTCCCAAATTTAACCCTTTACATCCTAATTAACCCCTTGAGTCCCATTAGTGACCAAGACAGAATTTCTCCTTACACTATCAGTACAATATCAAATAGACAAGTAATGAGAATAAAGAAAAATATCAATTAGGGGATTATTGGTGGATCCAATTCCAAATTCTCCAAACTAACATCACATGAATTGTATGACAGACAGTAAGAAGAATTACTAATGAAATCTTGGGAGTTCAAGGGTTAACATAAGTATTCACATTCTATACACAACTCTCTAAGTATTCTATGGAACAGACAAGGAGAATTTGATTGATGATCAAGGGCTCTTAAAATTGATGATCATTTCCTTTATTCTCATTACCTTTATATTTGATTCAAAAGAGATACTGTAAGGAGAAATTAGAAGCCAGTCACTCTTGAGGATAAAAGTGTTAAAGTGTAATAATGAGATACTTTTTATGCACCAATCAATTCGAAGCCTCAACCTCCCCCCCCCCTCACAACAGGTAACCCACCATGCATTTGATTCTTTGAAGACTGATTTGTTCAAATTCCCAATCCCCTGGGGCAAAAATTGTGTTCAAATGTCCCACCTAAATTTTTTATAGAAGGCAAAATCAGTGACCATGACTTTCTACACATTAACCAAATTTAAAACCTAGACCTTATAAATCTTTTCTTCAAAGCCAATTGCATGTGAAAGTTAACAATTTACCTTAAAACACCTCTGTATTTAAAGATATATTATTTGTATTCTGCTGGAAAGACTTGACATTTCCAGTTAAAATTCCCCACCCCAGCCAGGAAAGGCTCGAATTCCCCACCCACAGGGCACAAACAACAGTCATATGCTTATGGGTAGCCCAGGGAGGGAATACTGAAGCTTCAAATTGAATGGCACATTAGTGAGTGAGACTATACACTATTAAGCACAATGGTAACTGTTGTCTTATTTGACCCTTTGAAGTGGTCTAATGACCATAAAAATGAAATATACAGAAGTATGACAGCATAACTACTAGCTGTTGCAAGACATTATATTCTTCATAAATACATTTGCCTTCAAAATTGACATATTTGTCTAAGTACACAATGAAAATCCAAAACAAATATTTTAGACAAAAATTGCTTATCAAGAACAACATTCCTCAACAATTTCCTTTAGTTTGTCTTTATCAACGAGGTCAAATACTCCTTTTGCAAACTGGAAAAATAATCTTTCCATGAAATTGGACTTGTGAATTGTCATGCCTTCCAAAAAGGCGATGTGTCCACCATATGATGTCAAAACCATGGACACCATAGGATTCTGTGCCAGTGCTTCAAGTGGTATGGCTGTATTTTGAAAGAGAAGAGAAACACATATGATGTATTGAAATAACATAGGTGCTTATGGTACCACATAGATAAAATGCAAGCCTGTAAGATGTACAGTACCAAACATATTATAAGTCAGTGGAGACAGCTGCAACTTCAAAACATAGCAGCACAAAAACAATCATAAGAGTCTTTGAGAGAAGAATAAATTATATTATGTTACGTCATGTTATTAACCAGGTCAGAGGTCTGTATGGGTAAAAAGTGTCCCAGAGGTCTTGTGTATGGGCAGGGGCCATAGATGGAAAGTGTCACCAAAGACCCAGTGCACAATTTTTCCCATAAAGATCCATCAAGGCAGGTATGTAACAAATTCATTTTTTTGCTGGTTTCCTTTTTTGCACTTTTCCACAAATGGTGCATAACAAAATTTGGGAGAGGGGAGAAAATACCAAAGTGAATGTTTTATGAGAGGATTATTGGATTTCATTAAAAAACACTTACCATGTAAAGGGGAAAATGGATCATCAGCAGCATTTAAACAAAGTACAGGTACTTTAATGGTATGTAATGGTTTGGTGTGAAGGGAGGCAGCACTGTAGTATTCCTCATAGTTGCGATAACCAAATGTTGGTGTTGTAAATCTCTCATCAAATTCACGTATTGTCTGAGACTGTGAAAAAAATAAATAAATAAATAAAAATCTATTTCCAAATACAACATCATCTATTACATTATTTAACAATAATTCACATAAAGTTGAGGTGGCTATTCAACAGTGATCACTGAGCCTGAGGTGTATAATTGCATGCTCAGGTGCTGTCGAATTCTGTTTTAAATTTGTTTTGTTTTTGAAACCACTCTGGAAATAAAGGAAGCTTTGTGCATGTTTTGTTTCAATTGTTTTGATTACTTGCACTGAGATAAGTAGCCACTTTCCACCAAAACTTAGCAGGTTTAATTAATTTAATCAACAAAAACTTCATAAATGTATCTTACCGGTATTTATGAAAAGTGTTGCCCCAAACTTACCAGTAATAGCGCTACTTGTGTTCTTCAGAATTTAATTTTCTGCAATTATGTTTATTGCTACCTCATAACATAAAGCTGCCATTTCTAAATTTGCCGTCCCTGCTATAATCATGTTGTACCAGGTGATTTCATCAAGATGTCATGCAATCTTCGACCAATCAAAGTGCAAGAATCTCTTTAATTAATCATTCACCTGAGCAACCATACTAAAAAATTATTTTAATTGGGCTCAAATATTTATGAAAATTTAGAAGTGACTAAGGGTAACACTCTTAAAGGGGCACAAGGTGTAACTGTATTAATAGCATCTCTAGGCATCAATAAAGATAGTTTTTACTTACCTTCAATGCATGGTGAATATCCAATGGTAGTTTTCCCACATGCCTTTCAAACATTTCAAGATTCCTATAAATAAAGCTGATGAGCTCAGTGATTCAAATCAGACTGATAGATGGTATCACATATGCTAATGAAGTAAAACTGAAACAACAATGGCAGCAAAGATTCCCCTTCAAGACCTGTTCTAGTGGAATTTTCCTGCATATCATGTCTAAAAGATTTTTCATTAGATGCTTGTTAAAGAGGAAACAAAAATTTCAAGATTCCTACAAATAAAGCTGACGAGCTCCGTAATTCAAATTGGATTCATAGACAGTATCACATATGCTAAGGAAGTAAACCTAAAACAACAATGGCAGCAAAGATTCTCCTTAAACCCTTTATCTCCCAAGATCTGAATAATAATTCTCCCTTCTAGCTGCTACACATATCCTTGTAAATTAGTCACGAGAATTTGGTGCCAGATCAAGACAACAACTTCTACCTGATAAGTTTGAATATTCTCATCAGCTGTTTGCTGGATAATGTAAGAATATTATAAGGAGAAGTTTCATGTTGATCACTCCTGGGAGTTAAAAGGTTAAGACCTGTGCTAGCGGAATTTACCTGTACAACATGTTGACAAGATTTCTTGTTAGATGCTTGTTGAAGAGGAAACAGTTGATTGGTTCTTCCAAAGAATAGCAGGACTCCATACAATTCCATGGAACAGAGACAGCCATAACAGCAACAAGACCATGTCTATCTTCCTCACTCATTTCATTTACATAATGAAGCATTATCATTCTGTAAGCAAAAAAAAAAATCAAATATTATTCCACTGACTAATTGTGCTAAAGATTCCATTTTGTCATGTGTCTGTTCAGTAATAGATCACAGATGACATCAAAGTGTGGTAAGAACAAAAAAGTGGTACACCAAGTGCAACTAAGTGTGTCACTTAATCCTTTACCTCCCATGAGTGACCAAGAGAGAATTTCTCCTCACAATATCGATACAACATCAACCAGATAAGTGATGAGAATGAAGAAAAATATTAATTTGGGGATAATTGGTTGATCCAATACTAAATTCTCTGAACTAACATTGTAAGAATTGTATGGTTGACAGTAAGGAGAATTACAAAATTGATCTGGGAGTTAAAGGGTTAATATGTTCTTTCCACATTTTGACATCTTCTGTGATCTATT